GTAGGTGGCGCCCCCCCACCGGCGGGGCTGCTCCAAAAGATGGAGTCGCTTGGGTTTCACATCACCCATGCGTATGGGCTCACGGAGGCCACCGGGCCGGCCCTCGTCTGCGAGTGGCAGGCCAGGTGGAACCGCCTACCAGCGGCAGAGCAGGCAGAGCTCAAGGCCCGCCAGGGGATCGGCATTCTGACACTCGCCGACGTTGATGTTAAGCACTCAGAGACGATGAGGAGTGTCCCACGTGACGGGATGACTACAGGGGAGATCGTCCTCCGGGGAAGCAGCATCATGAAGGGTTACTGCAAGGACCCGAAGGCCACGTCCAAGGCCTTCCGGGACGGGTGGTTCTTCACAGGAGACGTCGGTGTCGTCCACCCCAGACGGTTACTTAGAGATCAAGGACCGGTCGAAGGACGTGATAATCTCTGGCGGCGAAAACATAAGCAGCGCGGAGGTCAAGAGCGTGCTGTACCGGCACCCCCAGGTCCTGGAGGCGGCGGCGGCGGTGATGCCACACCCGTGGTGGGGGGAGAGCCCATGCGCCTTGGTCGCCGTCAAGAAGAACTCGGCCGGGAAAACGGACGACGTGAAGGAAGCGGAGATCATATCCTATTGCCGCAAGAACCTTGCACACTTCATGGTGCCGAAGAAGGTGGAGTTCATGGCGGAGCTGCCCAAGAATCATACCGGAAAGATACTGAAGAGTCAGCTGAGGGCGGTGGCGAAGAGCTTGGTCGTGTCGGATAATACTAATGGCCCGCCGTCATCCGACAAGAAGACGTCCGAGGAAGTCGCGACGGGTTTGTCGCAATACGATCCCGAGAAGCAAGAGCAACGGGTTCTTTCCTTTTCCTCGTCTCGCCTTTAAAGATCTTTGAGCGAGACGTTGTCTTCTTTTTTCTTCCATTTTTTCGCTTTTTCGGTTGAAATTCTGTCTCCTATCACAATAGCAAATTAATTCATTTCAAATAAACTATAAATCTCGTCCTGTAAATAACTATATTAATTAAATATTATTATTTTTTTAATTATTGTATAAACTAAACTCATCTTCACATCATATGATTCTAAAACTGTATTATTAGCTCTTCTGAACCTTCTGACTTAAGTGCATAGTATTTTAATTTCGCATTTTCATAATACGGACGCAATAGGTGTAAACTATACATGTTTTATTTTTGCGTGGTAATTAATTGTATTTTTGTGTTTATTATGTATGTATTTGTTTTGATCGGGTATGTATGTACACGCTCTTCTTAGCCAATGAATCAGTTATTTTTATTTTATTTTTGTTTTTGGTTTAAGCAGTCGGGTAGTGTTCGGAACGGCTTTCACGCACCTCGTCCGGTCCGTCTCTCTAGACGATCTTAGAGGCACACTCCCTACATCAGTTTGGCACTTTCAAGATTTTACTCTTCGAAATGCTCCCAACAAGATTTGAATTTAAAATCGTAAGGAAAGAAGAAAATGCTTTTGCCATCTAAGTCAATACTTAATCGCCATGCATCATTTATAAACTATTTACATGTATTCTGTTTGGAATAACAGATACCATACCAAAGATCTTTTCGATCATTTGAGTCCAAGAGATAATCCGTTCAAACATACCATGAAAGTGTCCTATTCTCCTTAAATTCAAAGTTTTACATAGATGTCCAACCTTACTCAGCTATTTATTTGTTGGGGATATGTTCACCGGTAGTCCTATAACTTGGCACAAAAGTGCAATTAAGTTCTAAAACTTACAAAAAGTGCAATCAAGTCCTAAAACTTGTCAAATTGATGCAATCGAGTCATTCCGTTAACCTCATTCAACTTGGCTAACAGAAATTGCTGACATGCGGCTTTGATTTTATTATTATTTTCTCTATCATACGTGACGATGAGGTGGCTAAAACGACGTCGTTTTGATCCAAATCTTATCTTTAATATTATTTAAATTAAATTAAAAAATAAGGTAAATTTTTTTAAAAAAAAAGTTAGGACCGTCTAACTCTCCTTTTTTTCCTTTTTGTATATTTTATCTTATTTTTAAATTTAATCTAAATAAAATTTGTATTAACAATCAAATTTGGACCAAAACGATATCATTTTAGCCTTATATTTTTGTGTTTTAGCCGCATCATCACCACATATAAGAGAGAAAATATTAAAAAAAGAAGACAACGTCAGCATTTTCTATTAGTCAAGTTAAACGGAGTTGACTGAATGACTCAATTGTACCAAGTTAACAAATTTTAGGATTTGATCACACTTTTTGTAAATTTTGGGACTCAATTGCACTTACATGACAAGTTTTTAGCACTTCCAATGCACACATCCCTATTGGGGAAATTGTCAAATCAGTCCTAAACCTATTGTACGGCGGAAAATTCAGTCCTAAACCTTTTAATTTTTCCAATTCAGTCCTAAACCTTTTAATTTTTCCAATTCAGTCCTAAACCTTTCTAATTCTTGCCAATTCAGTCCTTCCGGCCAATTTTGGCCGGCCTGCGCTGACGTGGCCGCCAGCCGGCGCCGGCCGTCCGGCCAACGCTAACGTGGCAATTTTTTAATCTTTTTTTTTTTTTATTTCTTCATCTGGCCGGTCCGGCGATTGGCGGCCGGCCAGAGGGGAGGGCCGGCGAGGTCGACCTCGCCGGCCTCGCCGCTGCTGAGGCGAGCCCGACCTAGCCGTCGCCTGGTTCGCGACGGGCGAGGTCGAGCCTCGCCCCAGTCTGGCGAGGCTCGACCTCGCCGTCGCGACCCGAGCGACGGCGAGGTCGGCGTCGCCGCTAGGCGAGGCGAGGCCCGGAAGGCGAGGCCGACCTCGCCGACGCTTGGGTCGCGACGGCGAGGTCCGGCCTCGCCCCGGATCGGGCGAGGCTCAACCTCGCCGTCGCGAACCAGGCACGACGGCGAGGTGAGGCCCGCGGCGGCGAGGCCGACCTCGCCGTCGCTGGGTCGCGACGGCGAGGTCGAGCCTCGCCGGATCTAGGTGAGGCTCGACTCGCCGACGCCCTGGGTCGCGACGGCGAGGTCGAGCCTCACCTAGATCCGGCGAGGCTCGACCTCGCCGTCGCGACCCAGCGACGGCGAGGTCGACCTCACCGTCGCGAACCAGGCGACGGCGAGGTCGGCCTCGCCTCAGCAGCGGCGAGGCCGGCGAGGTCGACCTCGCCGGCCCTCCCCTCTGGCCGGCCGCCGGTCGCCGGACCGGCCAGAGGAAGAAATCAGAAAAAAGAAAAAAAAAAGATTAAAAAATTGAAAAAAAATAATAAAAAATTGCCACGTCGGCGTTGGCCGACGGCAGCGCCCAGAGCTGGTGGCTCCGGCACGTCGGCGTTGGCCCGGAACCGGCGGCCAGTGGCCGTTGGCGGCCACGTCCAGCCTTGGCCAGGCCAAAGTGGCCAGGAAAGAGCAATTGGCAAGAATTAGAAAGGTTTAGGACTGAATTGGCAAAATTAAAAGGTTTAAGACTGAATTGGCCGCCGTACAATAGGTTTAGGACTGATTTGACAATTTTCCCCATCCCTATTTTGTTGGGAAAAAAAGTTGAAGTCTGGAAAATTATTTAATTTAAGAAAAATAATTCATCAAATTTGATGTAGTAACACAACCGTCCGCACCGCCACCTTTGCTACTGCAGCGTAAACACCTTTTGCACACCATCCTACTTATTACAACATGTATATATGTCCCATTGCTTATTGATTGTTACTTTGTTGCAATCAATTATCATTCTTGGAATTTTGTAAAAAAAGAAATCAAATATCCACGTTTTGTGTCATAGAATGAGCTTTCCGTGCACTGAAAAATGGTTTCTAGTGGCATTATTTGAAAACAAATTAAAAGTTTCATTTGCAGTCTTTCAATGGGGGGACATTACAAGAGTCTTCCTCAATCTTCTCCATGTCCCCTTGTGAATTCCACAACCAATTACCAACATCATTCTAAAACAAGTAAAGTGGAAGAGGGGATGAATTGGACATCGGGATATTACCCGGTTGGTCCTAAATATATTGTGCAAATTCCAATTCAATCTTGCATTTTCGATTTTACCAATTTAATCCTAAACTCCTGTGCGAAATTCCAATATAATCCTTCAAGTCAATTTTCGCCGAAAATCGCTCATATGTCAATCCATTCATTGCTAGCCATCCTATATGGAATACCGCCACATCGGCAATTTCAAACAAAAATTGACCGGAATGACTACATTGAAATTTCGCGCAAATGTTTAACATTAAATTGACAAAATTGAAAATTTTAGGACTGAATTGACATTCACATAATAGGTTTAGAACTGATTGGACAATGTCCCCCATTGCACCGTGTTACAACAAACATGGCCTTTGTCATTTTACTTCAATTATAAGTGGCAAATTTGACCCAGTAGACAATATTTTACAACAAATGAGATGAATTAGCAAAAATAAAATGTAAATTGAAGCACAATGACCATATCCTCCGTTTATCGCACCCCTTTTCATTCCATCCACTTTCCTTCATTTCCCAAACAAAGAGTAAAGAGAGAATTGAGCCAAAAGGAAACTCTTTTTGTCCCTTGTCACAATTCCATCGAGAACTCATAACAATCAGAAAACCAATGTGAAGGAAGAGAGAAAGTATGATGGCAAAACCACCGTCGAAGCCCCTCCGATATAATGCCAACATTCACGCAGAGGAGATTCAATCAAGTTTAGTGCGATGGTTACTCTTGCTTCATTTAATTTCAGTTCTAAATGGACCTTGTAACCAAAGAAGGTTGTTATCATTAAACGAGATCAATGTCATAAGTTCCCGCCTACGGTAAAACAAGGAAACGGGTACGTGGACAGAGCTCCAGTCAATATGACAGTTTTCCTCCACGAATCAATCGAACAAGATTGCACACTAAACCATAAGCCAATGAATTGCCAAGTCACGCAGACTTGATAGTTTGAGGAGGCAATTATATTGTTGATGCAGAGGATAACCTCTTAGTAAGAACAAGAAAAGGCTGCGACAAACGCACGATAGAGAACGATGGATCAGCGGAGATTGATTAAACGAGATGTAATATTCACTAATAGACCATATATAACAGAAAACTTCAGTGCAAAACTCTGTCAACATCCAGGGCCATGTACTGTTTCAAGTGACTCACAGAACACACAACTCTCTCATTCTTCCTTCTTATAGCCAGCACGGAAGTGAACCCTATGCTGTTTATTTGATACATGTACAAGCAGGAACATCAGCTAGAAGGTTACCTTTACACCCAATAGTGCCATTAACTGAGAAATGAACTCTGGGTGACCAGGCCAAGCTGCTCCAGTGACCAAGTTTCCATCGGTGAAGCAACGATCGATTGGATCAGGTTCTAACCAAGTGGCACCTGACAGTACCACGTTGAGCTTCACAGCAGGATATGCTGTACATTTCTTCCCCTGTAACAAATCACGATGAATACACCCGTTATACCCTAATGATCTCAGTATACACTAACACAGGATGTCATTCAACTTTAGAGTATTTCTAATGTCAAATGCTAAAACTCAACAAGGCCTCACATTCCACTTGCTCTAATAATATTTCACACGTCACACTTTAGCACCACCAATCTGTTGAAAAGCCTTATACTTTAAAAGTTGACACAGCAGATAAGGGACACGTGCCTATCTCCGTGACTTTTTCTGATCCACTCTACCTTAGTGTTCGATTAAAATATGGAGAAGTTCACAATCACAGACACCAAGAGTTGCAATTAAAGTAGTCCCCGCCACAAGAAGTTCCTCAAGATCATTATGAGCATTCTCAATGGACCGATGAATTTATACAGAAGCTCCCAAAAATGCTACCAGATAACATGCTAATCAACAGTTTTGTCCCATTATCAATATCCAGAAACTACCTTGAGAACACCAGCAGCAGATAGAATCTGCTGCCCATGACAAATGGAGGCAACTGGCTTCTTGGCCTCCATGAAAGCCCTAACTAGAGCAATCACCTTCCCATCCAAGGCCAAATATTCTGGGGCACGACCTCCAGGGATGACAAGGGCATCATAACTTGAGGCATCTAAACCTTCAAAGTTAGCTGTAAGAGTAAAATCATGGCCAGGTTTCTCGCTGTAAGTCTGGTCACCTTCAAAATCATGAATTGCAGTTGGGCAAGTGTCACCGATCTTCTTCTTGGGGCAGACTGCATCAACATGGCACCCTAGAGCTTGAAGAGACTGAAAAGGTACGGTTACCTCATAATCTTCCATGTAGTCCTATAATATCAAGCCATGGGCAAAAGGTTATATCCAATTCCGCTTAAACTGTGTGGCCTCATGACATGTTGAGTAGAAGCAAAGCTCAAAAGGTGACAATCCTCCTAAATTCATGCACAAGCACAACTACTTATAATGTTTTTCTTTTGCCCCTTTCATATAAAGCATGAATTCAACAATATGAGTAATGTAACTCGTTTTCCCTATTTATTTAGTCATTCTTTGACTGCAAAATGAATTTGATTAGTCGAATAGCAGAATAATAAAAGAAGTTAAATGAACCATCCATTAAGAATAAGGAAAGTATGTGGATCCATGACAGTCTTCACCCGGAATTGCTTAGAGTAACCAGCCACTTGGAAGAAGGACAACTACTTCTGTCAATCATAGACTCGCTTAGAACAGAGAGATGTAATCCTGTATATAACAGTATGGCGGTAATTGACCCACAAATTAGATGGAACTGAACGCGGATTCAACTGAGTATCTCAACTGCTATTTTAACATAAAGAGCTAATCCCAAGCTAGCACCGATTCTTTTCAGGACATATTACTCTTGAAAAATATTTTCACATATCATAATTACCATACTTCAATTCCTTTTTCGATAACTCAAATATCGCTGACTCATCTGTACCACCAGTTCAGACAAGGACACAAGTAAATTCAACTAATTATCCCAATTATGTAATTAACCTTTACAAGCTCAATAAATGCATTACAATCCAAAATGACTTCACTCTGCACTTTTGCCATCCATAACTCACTCTCTTGAGAAACCAGAAGCTCTAATGAACAGCCAGCCAAAGTGGACCGGAAAATAACAAAGAATTGAGTAATTTCTTTTGAAAACACTTCTCAGACAATACTCTTGGAGTGCATTCCAATACTGATATAGAGAGGTTAGGAAGTATACAGCGACCCATAGCAGAGAACCAGCTCCAGAAAGCTCAAGTAAATAGGAAAGATGGAATACTAGTTAGTTGAAAAGAAATAGAAGCAGGAACACAAGACATATATGCCATTACTACCCAAATGTTCAGTAAAATCTCAACACATACCCCACATAAAAATAAGATCCGTTTTTCCGACCCAGTAATGCTGCCGCCCAAAGCCTTCACAATAGACTGGATGAACTCAGGATGCCCAGTGTATGCGACCCCAGTCACAAGATTGCCATCAGTAACACAGAGTGACATGCTCTCAGGTTCAACCCAGTGAGCACCTGCAGCAATCAGTACAGGTCCCACAGGAGGGAATGCGGTGCACTTGCGACCTTTAACAACATTTGCAGCAGCCAATATCAACTGGCCATGACAAATAGAGGCAATTGGCTTTCCAGCATGAGAAAATTTGCTAACCAAGTCTACAACAGATTGATCCATCGCAAGATACTCCGGAGCTCGTCCTCCTGGTATGACTAGGCCATCATATTCACTGAATTTGATTTCAGTGAATGTGGCATTTAACGTAAAATTGTGCCCCCGAGACTCGGAATAAGTCTGCACAAGGTAAAAGGTAAAGCTCAAAAAGGAGTATTAACGCCTACAGATTGAGAAAAGACAAACCAATGTCTCGGCTCTCTAAGAGCTCAATGGAGACTAAAGATGATACGTAAGCAACAAAAGAAATCTCCGAGGCTTAAACTCTGATATGTAAATTATCATATGTTGCAGCATGATTTATACACATTAGAAAAGAAGTACATGAGTATTTTGATAATGTTAGTATAGATAGATGTTGAAATTATTAAAAGGTTCTCCGTAAACTGAGAAGAAATTATAAATACATCATTGAGTTTTTCTAGGGTGTAAGAAAAATAAAAATGTACATAATCTCCCTGCAATCCACATTACTTCCGAAACAGGCACCACATCATTTGTAACAATGACATGTCCCTATACTGTTGTGAATGCTATCTGAAATTTTTGTTGAAAATAGAACATAATCTGCAACATACTTCCAAAACAAGCCCCCCCCTTTTTTAAAAAAAAAATTTTTTTTTATTTTATATTTTTTTTTAAAAAAAAAAATTACAACATCCTTTTGAATTCCAAGGCTACTATGCAGAATAGATACATTGCAAGTTCTCACAGCAATTGGACAGTAGATTATTGCCGCAGATAATATTAGTCCAAGGACTTGGATTGCTGAAACTAAAGTACGGGTAGTGACTTAACAAATGCTTGAAGCAAAACGGGTATCTAGACAATTTTTCAGGGTGTAAGAAAAATAAAAATGTCCATAATCTCCTTGCAATCCACATTACTTCCAAAACAAGCGCCACGTCATTTGTAACAATGATATGTCCTTATACTATATGCGTTTGTGAAAATAGACAATCGCTACAACATCCTATTGAATTCCTAGGCTACTACGCAGAATAGATACATGACAAGTTCTCACAGCAATTGGACAGTCGATTATTGCCGCAGATAATATTAGTCCAAGGACTCGGATTGCTGAAACTAAAGTACGGGTAGTGACTTAATAAATGCTTGAAGCAGAGCGGGTATCTAGACAATTTTCGTTGTCGATGAGAGTTAATTATGGACATTGAGATGTATAAGGTCAATGATAAGAAGATAAGTACGACTATGAGATGTTAACAGATGCTGCAAGGACAAAGAGTGAAGTTTTTTACCCAAAATTGAGAGGAGGATCTTTGAATGCTTTGAATTTCATACGAGAACATGAAGAGACTTGTTCTAAATCATGCTATTGACAGGACTGTTTTCTAGTTCAGTCAGGTCTTTCTATTTTCTTATGTACTTTTTCTAATGTTAATATTTAATGTGAACTTAAAGAGTAGCTTGAGAACCATTTCTATTTCAGCTAGTGCTTACTTATCGCATACTCTTTCTGGACATTAGTAATAATGATACGATGATAGACATCATAGACATGCTCTTGAAGTAGTAGCCTTTTTCAACTCGATGTAGATCATCCTCAGCATTTCTAATTCAATTCATCCCCCTCTGCAATATTCACATTGATGTAGAACAATCATAAATGCTTTGTGAATTTTGCTTTCTTTCTCAAGCACTTGAGACGAGATCAAATGTAGATGCTCAAACAGCAGGATCTCACTGTCACCCAGTGTACCTAGGATCTCATCTTGCACATTCAATATGAAGTAGATGACAATAACGACCAAAGAGAGAAAAGCAAAGTTTGACGTGGACATGACTTCAACCAAATGTTCGATAAAAACAGGTCTTATTCTAGTCTGCTATTATCAAGCGGAAAATCAACAAAACTAGGACTAATGTTTTATTACAGTCGTGGTTGTTGGTAGTCATGTCACGTGACGCAGGCATCACTCAAAAAGTAACATTTCAAAACGCCCATTGTACTTTGGATCATTTAGAAATTGATCGATGCATCTATATCTTTTTCAACTCAATCGGAGGCATTGTACTTCTCAAATAGGTAAAATAGCACTTCTGTAGGTCCTCGTTACTTTATAGGTGCGTTGCATACCCTACAGCATCAGAAGCTCGTAAGATAATCCTCAGTACTATTTAAAAGGAAGCTAAAACTAAATGCCGACCACTTGTACACGGATTTATTTTTTCCGTGAGTAGACCCCTCCTCCTCTTACGAAGCGACTCACGCATTTTGATGAAGCAAATGAAACCTTAACAGTTGAATAATCGGAAGGAGGCACCATGGATGCATAAACGGTATAGATGGATTTACAACCGAAAGACGTTTAGAGAGTATCAAGTCACCGATGATCCAAAGATGGTGTGTCAAGTTACATTTTATCCTTACTTAAGGCATCCGGTCATCGTGGTCAATAACCTATTTCATATCAAACACCCCCATGCCCAAATTCAGAACTCTGCCACAAATCTTCAAGTTCAACTAATTTAACCCGTTCGACTACGGTTCATTTACAACTGCAAAGTGCAAGCCATCCTCCGAAAATGGGTGTCCCCAACCAAATCAAGGCACACTAAAGCAGGGCCAGAGGAACCAAAAAGCCCTCCTCCATCGCCACCAACTGGAGAGAAGAAAGACATGGATAGCCACAGGCCAAACGAGAAGAGACCAGAGGAGCTAAGTCTTAAGGGAGGGAGAGAACCTGGTGAGCGCCCATCTGGTGAACAGCGGTGCGGCAGACATCGCCGGCTTTCTTCCCGGGGCAAACGGCGTCCACCGGCACCCCGTACGCCAGGAGCGCCTGGAACGGAACCATCACCTGCGTCCAGAGACCAAAAGAGAAGGACGCCGTCGTCTTTACACACCCACCGAGCCCCAAGACGAACGGAAAACAGGGAAGGGGATGGATGGTGCGATGAGACCCCACCTCGTAGTCTTCCATGTAATCCCCGCACAGCAGAAGAACCCTCCTCTGGGGCTTGGATCCCGCCATCGTTTCTCTCGGGGAAACGGTCGCTCGGGGGGGGAAGCAGCGCCTTATCTTGAAGCGGCCAAAGGGAGGGAAGGGGACGGGATTTCAGAGGCTGATGAATCCGGCGAGCTCGGCCTCGTATATATAGATAATAGTTAGTAGAAGACGTCTGGAGTGACAGAGAGGCCTAGGTGTCGCTGTCCCCGGCTATCGCTTCGCGTACTGCCCCCATTTCTTTTACCATTTGTTGCTCTCTTTCCTTCCCCTTTTATCATTTTCTTATTTTCTTCCCCCGCGGTTTTTTGGAGCTTTGCACGCCGGCCTCGAAGGGCGAAGGTTAGCCCTCACTGGATTTTTGGGTGAGGGGGGTGGCCGCGACGTCCTCGCTCGGGTCTGGCGAGGATGCCGCGGCCCCCCACCGGCCCTCATCTGTGGCCGGCGATCATCGTCGAGGTCCGGCGAATGCCGGAGGGTAATTTGAGAAAAAAAGGAAAAACTGGAAAACGTTTTAAGAAATCGCGAAAAATCGTCGACATCAGCTCTTGGTAATACCGAGTAGGATGACCGGCGTTGATTGGGTTATCACGTTAATTGGTCGAAAAGATAATATTGACAAATTGTTCAAAAAAGTTTAAAATTAAAATATTTAGAATTCAATTTTATTATTTTTTAGGTAATTTTTCTCGCCATGGATAACGGCGAGAGAAAACAAATTTGGTGAGAGGGAGAAGAGAAAACGTGAGTGGATAACGGTGTCGTCATTGCTTCGACCTAACGGTGCATTTCGAGCCATTAGTATTAAAAGCAAAAGGCTAGTGGACATTTGAGCACATCAATAAAGAAATTAGCAGTACTCCAAAATTCGTTCATTATTAAAAATATGGAATATTGCAAGCACGGCGGCTATCTCATTTCGGAGTGATCAATTCCCGATTTCAAAATTTGAGAACCGAGGACCGGACCAGTTGATCCTAGGATTGGGAACTAGATCGGACCACCGATTCCGGTTCGATCCAATAGAACCGGTCACTTAAGGTTGAATTCCAATTTTGTTAAATTTTACCAATGAAGTTTATTTAGGATTTAGTTCATATTTTATTAATTTTTTTGAAGAAATAATATATATGCAGTCGGTCCGGTAGATCCAATTTCCCCTTGGAATAGAGAATCGGATCGCCCGGACACCGATTCCACTTTTAAGAACCGAGAATTGATTTGGGCTGTTCATTTTGCACATCCCTACCCTCATGCCATTCGTGCATAATAATCAAGCAAAACACACGGCCCCACTCATAAAGGTAAACAAATAAGCGTGGTAGCGCCAAAGCATGAATTGAAGTCCCTGTCTAACTAAGGCTCGTTCATTTCGCAAAAATAAATAAATAAATATTTTTATAAATATCAATTAATTAATAAAAGATATTTTCATTATCAATCATAATTTATGTTTAAAATATTTTCTTGAATGATGAAAATTTCTTCGTTCATTAATTTTTGTAAGCGATATAATCAATCATATTTTGAAAAAATATTTTCCAAATCATTCATTTTTCGCGAAACAAACGCACCCTACGAGTCTAACGGTGCGAAAAATGACAATATTTCTCTTCCCCGACACTATTTCTAATTAGAAATAGAAAAATCTATTTCTCTTCTCCGAACGAGTTTATGAAAAAAAAAGTAGCGTTTGATAACGATACAAAATTTCTATTCCTGGAATGGAAATTCGTTTAATAACTACACAAAATTTCTATTCCCGCCGGCCTGCGAGCGGCGACCGCAAATGGGCGGTGAGCAGTGGGCGAGTGGCTGGCGGGCGGATGGCGGCGATAGGCGACGGCGAGTAATAAGCAATAAAAAAGAGTTGTTATTTCTATTTTTGGAACTTCTCATTTTTTCAAATTTATTTATGAGCCAAAATTTATCCCCAAAATAAAAAATGAAATTATTTTACCTAATGGATTTCTATTCCTAGGAACAAAAAGGATAAAAAAACAGGAAATCGCGCCCTGAGACTATCTCAATCGAGTTAAAAGTTACGAATATGGGGTTCTTTTGGGCCGTTTTTGACTGCAAGATTTATCTTAAGATTTCGAAGCCGAATTATGACATTTAGTATATTTTTCTAATGATTTAATAATTGTTGTTTAGCTTTTGCATATCTAAATTATAGATTAATATTGTCGGATGGTTCATTCAACACCTAATTTCTCAACGAGGATCGTGATTAATAGTAGTCTTGTTACGTACACACTATTGAGTTGAAAATAAGGCGCCGAAACCCTTTAAATTCTTGGTTTAACCCTTTGATTCGATTCTTGGCCCGCGAACCGGAGAGAGCGAATCCGACTCGAACCGTGCCCTCCCGATCTTAGACTAAGAGCGGCCGGGCCATGCGATCCACATTGATTTTCACTGCTGGTCTCGTCGGCTTCCTCATGTCGAAGTCACGACTTATAAAACCATCTCATCGTTTTTGCTTCATCTCTCAAGAAAAAATCGAATCGGTCCTCGGCCGTTTCCCGTCGATTCGGCTTTGGAACCGAGCCAGAACCCGGTTTTGCCCGATACCCGAATCGAACCGGTTCGGTCGCGCACCACCGGTTCGAATCATATAATCGGTTCGCCACGACAGCAAACGTCGCCGTTTTTCCGTATTTGCGGACTCAGCTCCGTTCAAGAGCGCCGCCGCACGCTAGCTCTCGCTTCGCAGAGCAGAGATGGATATGGAAGTCCACGACGCTCGCGACCGCAGCTTCAAGCGGAAGCGCGACGGCCTCCCCGATTCGTACCCCGCCAGCAACGGCGGCGACGGCGGCGGCAGCGGCGGCGGCGGCGTCGACCTGTCCCTCCTCGAAGCCGTGGAGAGATCCCAGAGCGCCGTCGAGGTCCTCGACCTCAAGACCCTGAAGAAGCTCGTCCTGGCCTTCGAGCGCCGCCTCAAGGAGAACATCGAGGCCCGCCTCAAGTACCCCGACCAGCCCGAGCGCTTCGCCGACTCCGAAATCGAGCTCCACGAGGAGCTCCAGAAGCTCAAGGTCCTCGCCGGGGGCCCGGAGCTGTACCCCGACCTCGTGTCGCTCAACACCATCCCTTCCGTCCTCGGCTTGCTCGGCCACGACAACACCGACATCGCCATCGACGTCGTCCAGCTCCTTCAGGACCTGACGGACGAGGACGTCCTGGAGGACAACGACGAGCCCGCTAGGGTTCTTGTCGATGCGTTGGTCGAGAACAACGTGCTCGAGCTCCTGGTCCAGAATTTGCATCGGTTGTCGGAGTCCGACCCCGACGAGATGGCCGCGGTGTACAATACTCTTGCCACGATCGAGAATTTGATAGAAGTGAAGCCGGCGGTGGCAGAGTTGGTGTGCGAGAAGACGAAGCTGTTTCGGTGGTTGTTGACGAAGATCAAGCAGAAGGAATTCGACGGCAACAAGCAATACGCGTCGGAGATTTTGGCCATACTGCTGCAGAACAGCAAGGCTAATCAGAAGAAGCTGGGGCAGATGAACGGCGTGGATGCGATGCTGCAGGCTGTTGCCATGTACAAGTCGAAGGACCCCAAGACGCAGGACGAGGAAGAGATGTTGGAGAATCTGTTTGACTGCTTGTGCTGCTTGGTAATGCCTCTGGAGAACAAGGAGAGGTTTCTGAAGGCCGAGGGCGTGGAGTTAATGATAATCATTATGAAGCAGAAGAAGTCAGCTTACGGTTCCGCGATCAGGGCGCTTGACTTTGCCATGACCAAGTTTCCGCCCGCATGTGAGAGGTTCGTGGATGTTCTGGGCTTGAAGACTGCCTTCGCTACTTTCATGGGTAAGGTAAGTACTCGTTTTACTCACTTTGATTGGAAGAGTTCTTCTCGTCAAGTTTATGGTCCAGTAATCACAGCCCTTACTGCATTTCATGGTGATGTTGATTTTATGGTTCTGCAATCTAGTCCTTACTGCATTTCATGGTTGATGGAAGAGCTATCTAATAATCGAATGCGATGTTGTGTTAATAGTGCTATTCCAACGCCATAAAAGGGAGGACATGGTGGGGGTACCATTATGGGCGGGAATACTGATACAATGAAGTCTGGCTTTACGATGCTCTAGTTAGCAAATATTTTATTGAAAAGCAAAAGTCACAGCAAAAGTTGGGGTTGGAATTCCCAAGGAGAAGTACTGGTCTGATACTTCTTTAACTCTGCTTGAACTTATCATTCTGTGGTACCTAGAGCGAGGTATGCTTCGGGCTGGTCACCAATATAAGGACGCTGAAGGCGAATGCTACTTGGCTAGACGTGTAGCATCTTGCGATGTGATGGTAGAATGCTATTTCTGTCCATGGTATCAACAGTTAGTGCTAGTTTGAGAAAGCTGTAGCTGTTGGAGAAGTGCTGAATGTTAATTCTTGATGAAGAAATGACCATAAGAGTAAGTAGCTAGAATGTTTGGCGAGCCGTTGTAAAGAAATGCTCTAGCCAAACTGATCATGTTGCCCGACAAGTCTTTTCCTGTGTTGAAAAGAGCAATTGATTGCACAGAAGGCCCTTTGTTTTTCTTTTTCAAATCCCACATTTTTTCGTTGGACTGTGCTATAAGATTTTTTGTTATGCATACTTATACTAGGATGCATTTAATCCACCGTATTTGTGGATAACTGAATAATTATGTAATGAATTTATTTTATTACTTCTCACTGCATAAGATGGCTTCAGTCTCTACTTTCCGAGCAGCTATGTCTTTCTCCATGATTTTCTGAGGACTGATCTTGAATAATGTCAATTAAAAGGCCTTCATACCTTTTGTTTTACAGATCCCGCAATACAAGAAGAACAAGAAAGAAAGGTATCAAGAAGACTTAGAAGAACGCATAATTTCTCTAATTGCATCTTTATTTGGTAAGCAGGCAAGTAAGATACTTGAGAGCATAGTTTAGCAGTATAAAGCGTAATTTATGTGGTGGATCGAAATGCTTCATGTGAGGGTTCTATTTCCCGAATGTGTATGTTTAGCAGCTTCCTGTAGGTGCAATAAAGTCATCCTCTATTGCTTACAGTCTTTGCCAATGCATTTAAATCAAAATCTGTTGTGATTTTCGCTTTGGGTGCGAGAGGTTCTGAGTTTGATTCTTGGAATTCCCCCCTTTTTTTTTTGTAGATATAGATTACATCATATGGTTTTATATTTTAGCAAAATAAATAAGGATTTATAGTTCATACGAGAAATTTTTTCTTGTCATTATCGAATAACGTACTGCGACTTTGTTACCTATCAAAAACATAAAACTCAACTCTGTCTATATATTTCTCAAATCTATTGCCGCTACTGTCTATCATGCTACACTTATCCATATACCAAAAATTGGGTATATAGACTAAGGTTTTCCATGAACTGTGAAAGGTTTTTCATGTGGTGGGACGTCGGTTGACATTTCACTTTATGGGCAAAAGGTGAACAAGATTTTCTTAGGACTGCAATTTTTTAAATATCATATCCTGCTTAATTATGTGAAACTGCACGTTCGAATGATTTAACTCCTTTTGAGTTTATGTTTTTTGATTGATACTTCTGAAATAATTTTTACTGTCAAAATCAATTGGATGTGACGTTTATAAAGTCCACTTTAGCGACTCTGTTTCTGATTATCATGCATAGTGTTTTTTTTTATCACTTAGAAATGTGAAAACTAATGGCTGTGTATGGAGACCCCGTAATAAGGAATAATATGTTTGCTAAATCACTTTTTTTTGGTTGGGTGTCATAAAATTGGTTGAATATGAGGTTTTAAACCCCTTACATAACTTGTTCAAATGAAGACAATCTCTATCCGTTATGCTTTAGAATGTGTGGCAGTAAAAAGAGAAGTGTTCTAGTGGGTCAAATAATTGGATCTGGATTTCTTTGTCACAGATGGGATTTCAAGGGGCTCTAGGAGGGAAAGGCTGTTGAGCAAGTTTGTGGAAAATGAATATGAAAAGATAGACCGGCTTGTGGAACTCTATGTGAGGTGGTTTTTTGTCTTTGTTTTTTACTTTTGGTAAATAACTTGTGCTGAACCCTTCACTTTTGGTTTTGTGGGAAAGTTCAATTTCATTCTTCTAGTTTGCTGAAAATGTTAGAAACTATGTTTTGTGAATAATTTCTGCATGATAGGCTATTATGTATAGAGGTCGTACCCCTTCAGTACCTTTTCTTAATGGAAATTTTGGTTATCATTCCAATAGAAATCTAGATAATATTGCTGTGGTAAAGGCTTCATTATCAAGTAACTTAACCTCACGCCTAGTGGTAAAGAAATGAACTTGTGAAACAGAAGCTTGGAAAGGTAATAGAAGAAAAGAAACATGGAAGAGAAACTATTATTCCAGGCATCAAGTGATGGTTTGTCATTTCTTTTGCTTGTGGGCAAGGAAGCTGCTTTGTTTTAACCATTGATGATATATGCTTCTAACACTTCTTCTCTCTGCGAAGATATTCTGATCGGGTTAAAGCAGTGACAGAAAGGTTAAACCAGCTTGAATTTGATGATTTGGAGGTAATTGTCTTTTCTTCACGAGAACTTTTGTCGATTGATTTAATTCAAAACTGAACTTTCTCTATGCATTCGAAATCAACAGATTGATGAGGATGAAAGATACAACCGAAGGCTAGAATCTGGGCTATACACTCTTCAGGTTACTATGCTTTGACCTATCAGATGTCAATTTATTGACGAGACCGCTTAATTTGAAATTGCATATGTATGAGATTAAACAGTGTATGGCTATGGTGTTTGGATGCTGTGCAGTCTGTATAAGTTGGTATAATAGAATAGTAGTACAACAGAGCACAATTACCGTCTTGTCTAGTTGCAATGCATGTCCTGAGATGCCCACTCTATATGCAGCATGCAATTACTTGAAGATATTTGAGAAAGGGTAAATCAAGTCTCGGAAGAGTAACACGGGATGATGCTCTCATATTGGTGCACCTGGAACTTTCAGATTTTCAAATACTTGCTTTGGAAAAGTTCAGTTTTGAAAAAAAAACTGGTTCAACTGATGTCATGCATAAAAACATTTGTTTGAGACATGATCAGGATGATGTTCATCTTCCTCAATTAAGCTTATACAGCTTAAGCTTGCTAATTGAAGTACTGGGATGGACTTCTCCCTGCAGAGTGGTATAGGTCGATAGGTGCCATGTTTCTAACATTCCAACGAAGACTCTTTCAAGCTTAAATACATATTTAAACTGATTTGTTTATCATTCAGTTTAAACTTATATCCTTAACTAAGTTGCTATTAAGAGGTGGCCAGCAAAAAAGAATTGACTATTGAGAGGCCACTTTGGTTACTCTAAATCTTAAGTCTGTAAAATTCTCACTTAAATGTGTATAATTCATTTCCCCTCAATGTTATGTTTCTGCAGCTGATTGCTGTCATCCTTGGTCATCTCTGGTGCTCAGAGTAAGTTCCTTCACGTATACATTGTGACAGCTATACAGTAGGGGATCTTTACCTTTAGTTTTTTCTTCTTTAGGTTGTGTTTAATTCTCACTTCTTAACTATTACTTCATAGACATCCTGGAATGAGGGCTAGAATCGAACAACTACTCAAGCTGCAAAAACTTAGCAAGAAAGATGTTAAAGAAATTCTTCAGGTACTTTCTCCCAAATTACATCATTCTTTGCCTTTTCAGTTCTAGCTGACTAGTTCTTGTCCAGTGGGTAATATATGACAGCTATAAATTTTGCTACTGAGCCAAGTACTACAGCATGATTAGTAGTCCTTTTGATGGGTGTTTGTGTCTTTACCTTCTGCTGAGGTTTTCCTGCTTTTGTTGTTAATGCGAATATTTTACCTTTTAAAAGTATAAAGCTATTGAGAAGTAGCCTCTATGGAAATTCAGAAGCCAAAAGGCAGGGGAGGGCTTTTCTGTAACGTGCTTTTGCAGATGACTTAGTTATCAATTGAAAATGTGCAAATTGAACTTCTGAATTTATTCTGTCAATCTTTAACTCAATTGAAAAATGAGATTCAGCCAAGTGCCTGAAGTATTTTCCAGTGCCGTAGTTATGTGAAGAATAAGTAGAGGAAAAAAAAAATTGGAGAACGAATTGTTTTAGTGAAAAACCAGTAATTGATAGGGTGCAATGGAAATGGCAGTTGACTTCAGGTGCTTGGGTTTAGACCGTGCAAATAGGTTAATCTCAGCCCTCTAGAACATGTTTACTCCTTAAGTAGTCTATAAAAAGTTCTGTGCTTCTTCGTGATTGAAGACCAGAAATTCAGGTTGTACTTCTTGTGGTTATGTATGTAGTCTAAGGTGTATAATTTCAAAATCAACTATTCCTCATTGCAGGAATACCATGACAACATTGGGGATCTGGATGGTCCAGATGAGAAAGAGCGTGCTCAGACAAAGATCCAAAAGTTCATATCGGCTCTTTGATTTGTGCATGAATTCTCACTGACCCTGGTTGTTCTTGTATTTTCCTTTTCCGTCAACATATGTAGTAATCTTGTCACTAGTCGAATTAGTTCGGAAGGGCTCCGGTGGCTGTGGTTTCACATCTCCAGCATCCAGTCTACCAGCGCACTGTGATAAACTGTAATTGAAACAAACTCAGCGACAGAGGAAGTTTTCGAGTTTTGGAAGGCAGTCGCCTGTGAATATCGTATTCGAGCAGCGAGTTTTAGGAATGCTATAATCGCTATCTTGTGCCTGCTAAGCTGTGAGTGTCATCAAAGTGACCAAACTCTGTACTTAAGAACCAGCTTGGTCACTGGTTTTGAATGGGATTTGGGTTGGTTCCTTTTTCTTTTTTTTTTGGGGGTTTCTCCATTCGCAGAGCGAAATTCATTTGTTGAATGTTGATTTCTATTTTCTAATTTCAGCTCTTACTCTCTTTATCTTTGTCCTTTTTCTGTACTTTTGTTCTCAATATGTTGGCTGTTCTCACTTTCAAATCCGCCAAGTATAAAAAATAGGGGATTCTAGTTATTATTCGTCTATAGAAATATTTTTTGGATATAGCGAGCAGGAACTGTTCGGGTCAACTTTCCTTACCAAAAAAACAACTGTCCGGGTCAACTTTCACACACCTCGATAGTTCACCTCTCTAGACGATTTTAAGGGAGCACTTGCTCGTATCAATCCGGTGCAATTGAGATTACTCTTGAAGCATTCCCGATTGGACTTATATCCTAGACATAAAGAGACCGAGTAAACTTATTTGTCATCTGTTGATTCTTTTCTCATCGAGAAACCAACACCTCATTTAGTTGGAGCCTTGTATCTTAAGATATGTCATGACGTCGATGATTTATACGAGCATGAATTAAACTAGTCTCACCCCCACTAAAGGCAAGTCATTTTAAATTAGGAAAAATGAAAACCAAGCTATGTAGTCGTAGACGTGAAACAGAATCAATTATAATTATATCGGTCCAAACCGAATTGATTACTGAATTGATATTGCTCAATTCAAGTTTTCAGTTCGCTTGTGCACGATCTCACAATGTGGATGTTTGCTCAACCGAAGGATATCCATGTAGTTCAGTTGTTTATCAGATATGGTTGTGAATGGATGTACGAATTCTGGATTTTTTATAAGTCGAATTCAAAAGAGGAGGAATCGCCAAAACCGGATAGAAAGCGAATCACGGATCATTCCCAATGCCAAAACGAGGCAAAAGCGGCGAACGTAACGTAACGTAACGTACCGTGTGGGGCTTGCGGTCCTCCCAAGTCAAAAAAGCCTCGAGGCCGAGCGAGAACCCGAACGCAACAGCATCGCCGATCCTGCTCCTCCTCCTCGATCTGACAAAACCCGAGTGACGAGTGAAATGTGACCGACCTGACCGACTTCTGTTCCATCTCCCCACGCTGAATCGAGTTCTTCCTCCGCCGACTCTCGGATTTGATCCGGCTCGCTCGCTCGCTCGCTCGCTCGCTCATCGAATCCTCTCCACCTGCTGATCGGGAAATCTTCTGTTGATCGGGAGACGTCGCGCGCAGTTCGTTAGAGCGAGAGAGAGCACGCGTGTCGCCGGTGAGCCGCCTTGCATTGGCGGCGGCCGTCGCCGAGGGCGCCCCGCTCTTCCCGGCTTTCGCCTTCGTCGACTCGCATCGGCGGCGGCGGCTGCTCTGTCGCTCCCGCGCGCCCGTCGGAATGGCGAGGCATCCGCCCGATTCGCGAGCGGGACGAGCCTCCTCCTGTTGAGATTGCTGCTCTGATTTCAGGTACTCTTTAGTTTCAATCTCTCTCTCTCGCTCTCTGCGACAATCGGTTTCCAGGATTGATAGAGAACGCGAAACTACCGATGAGTTTCGCGTTCCGGCGCGCTGATTGCGGGAGAGGTAGTTTTGGAGTCTGATCCGTCGTCTTCGATGTGATGAGCGATTCCCTTATTCGAGCGTGGCTTTCCGATCTTTGGACTCGAGGATACTATTTGAGGGAGCTCTGTTCGAGTGGTTTGTTTGGATTCCGTTTGCTCCTTGCTTTGGTTCGTTCTTCGCTGAAGTTTCCGGTAGTGCCTCAGTTGTTTGAAGTCTCCAATACCGAGACGAACCTGCGTTTCCTTCTGTTGCTCCTTGTGCTTCAACATCTGCTGCGTCTCCCATGTTTTACTGTGCCTTCTTTTGGTGCCCCTACCGCTGCACTTATCGAAGGAAACATTCCTTCATTTTTCGGGCGTTTGATCTGATTAAGGTTTTTTCTGCTATCCAAATCACTAGGCTTATTATGTAACTCTTGCGATGCTGTTCACAGGAGCCATACACTCCCAAATCGGGGTAATGGAGTCGCTGCTAGGCTTTTAGTTGCACCTCTGTACTTAGAAGAAGCTTAATTATACATGGTTCAGTTGTCTCATTTGTTGCTTCTTTGTGGAATTACTGAGAGAAGCTTATTCGGTTAGAGCAGTATATCTCGGTGTTGTTATACTCGGCGCGTGTTTTTTCTTCGATAAATGTGTTTTGCCTTTCAGCAAGCGGAGATGAATTATTCTTCTAATGCATAATTATAGAAACTTGTGGAGCATGCACTTCTTTTTCTACCCCATCTTCCCTCTCGGATAACAGTTGGGTTAAAGAATGATGGTGTTCATTTTGGACCACTGCAGTCTTAGTTGACTATTTTGAACTAATGTAGTATACCACATAACTCACATCTCAGTTACTTCGAGTATTCTGTATCTCCACATGCTGAATTTTTTCTTGATTTGAAGGTAGGGATGCATGCGGTCTTCTTGAAATATCGAAACTAGCAGCAAGATGAGGTATATGACCAGAATTAAGTGGGCTGCACTTGGAGGACTTCTCTTATCTTGCGTGTCATTGCTAGTCCACTTACTTTTGGCCAAGTATTCAAGTGCTGATCTAGTGCAGTACAGTGCAATCACAGGCTTTGTGGATGATCTTACCATAAATGCTGGATGGCAGGTGTGCCTGAGAGAATCACGGATGAGTGCTTTATAGATTTTTATCACACTTTTATTCGACATATTTTCTTCACATCGATGATGTTATTCTCTCTTTTTTTCATGGTTCAGGGAGCTGCGCATAGAAGATTATGGGGAAATGTGAAGTCTCTTGAGTCTCTCTATCCTTATGCCAATCCTAGAAGTAGACATCCTGGTAAGTTTACTCATATTCTCGACTTTTTGTTGGGGCCATGATGTTCAACATTCATTGTGGTTCCAATACAAGTTCTGATCTTTATTGCTGTGAGATGAATTCTTGTTTGCTTTTGTCGAATCTACATTTTAAATAATTTCCTCTGGTATGGAAGTATTGCTCCTGGATAAGGTTTAGTTTGAATGTAAGCATTTATGGACTTGCTGGTGAAGGAAGGAGTAATACCTATAAGAATGATATTTCAAACCTTTTGTGCAGCAGCTCCTGCTGAGAAGAATAATGGTTTCATCTATGCCAAAGTTTACGGTGGATTTGAGAAGATAAGAACTTCGGTAGGCTTTTATCTTTAAGTAGAATTCTAAGAATAAGTGAGCAAAATCTGTGTTTATGACTGGTTTCCTGCATTCTAGATTTGTGATTTGGTCGCAGTATCCAGGCTGTTAAATGCTACCCTTGTAATTCCAGAGATCCAAGAAAGTACTCGTGCAAAAGGCATCAGGTTTTCTTTCTTCCCTCTATATTCTAAAATTTATTGTTACAAGTGTTCCCCATATAAAGGATATGGATCATGAGATTCAAAACTTTGCAGCTTCAAGTTTCGGAGCTTTTCCTACATATACAATGAAGATCAGTTCATAACAGCTCTTAGTAATGACATAGTGATTGTGAAGAGCCTTCCTCCACACATGAAGGGGGCTATGAAAAAGAAACAGTACCCTGTCTTTAAGCCCAAAGCTACATCTTCTCCAAGATTCTATGCTAATGAAGTCTTGCCGAAGTTAAAGAAAGCTAAGGTCATTGTGTTTGTGCTTACTGGGGGAGGCTGCCTACAGGTACTTAATTTTGTCATATTTGTTTGTCCTGGAATGAAGACTTACCGTTGCTACTCTTTTGAGTAGGCATTTTTGCCTTTTGCTGATAGACTAACTTTTGCAGACAGGGCATACGCTGAATACTTTTCTTTTGCATGTGCGCTATGTATTGTGTTTTTTTTGTTTTTTTCACAGAAGCAATGAGACCTTGTTGCTACTAATGAAAGTTAGTCTCTTCATTGATTATTGTCTACTAAGATGTGTGTTAAAAGTGTTGCCATATGCTATTGGCGAACTCTCGTGCTTTGGAAATTGGATAATTAAACCAAGATATACCTCTCTGATAGCTCCTTTTATTTCTTTATAGCCTGTCCTCCCTCTTGATCTGGAAGAGTATCAGAGACTGAGGTGTAGAGTTTCCTTTCATGCACTTCAGTTTCGTCCAGAAGTTCTGGCACTTGGGCGCCGCATGGTGGAAAGGTAAGGGTGTTTTGCCTCCTTTGTTTATCACAAACACAAGTAACTGTCGAATGTGGCAAAAAAAAAAAAAAATGCTTCACAACTTTAGCTCAACATTTCTGCAATGTTGATCCTCACTGTGCCAAAATTTTTTGCTTCACTCTTCCGTTCCTCTCCCTTTGATTTTGATACTATATGGAGTTGCCTTTGCATGTGATGTTTTCCATAATATAGGCAGTTTTTTCCATGGGGCCTGCCCTTTGTAAGATTTCTTACCATCTCTTATCTATACAGGTTACGAGCTGCAGGCCAGCCTTACCTCGCATATCATTCTGGCCTTGTCAGAGATACTTTAGCATATCATGGATGCGCTGAGCTATTTCAGGTTTGTATAGATATCTTCTTGAAGTGATCTTACTATTGTATCACTCATTTTCTTCCTTGGTTTTTGCTTGGTGAATGACATTGAAAGAGGTGAACCGTCATATAATGCTTCTTCAGGACTTTGTCTGTAGTTAATATAAGTGCGCCCTTGTTAAGCAATGTTATCCATCTAAAGTCTGATAGCTGATTTATGTGCATCTGAATCATGGTTGTCTTACGCACTGATCTTTTTTGCTATATGTAGAAGTGAGGGACTTCGATATATGAAAGTTGGTTATTGTTCGATTTACATACTATATGTGGATGTATTGGGATTTGCTTGGAGATGCTGATTGTAAAATTCGAACCATATATTGCTAATCGAATGCAGAACAGGTTCAGCAGCCTATTCCCATGAATATTGTGGGCCACGAGTTTTGAAGGAAATTAATAAGAGAATCTTTTAATCATGCATACATCAAATAGCCTATAAGCTGAGAGTAGCGTAGTTTCATTCTTTAGTAAAGAGCGTTAATTCTTTTAAGGTTCTTCTGGCAGTCTTACCACATGTTTTGCATTTTCTTGTTTGTAGCGAAGGAAATTCCATATTTTAGTGCATTCCTACTAAATTTAAGTTCCTTTCTTAGATTTTAGACATGCTGTTCAAGGATGTGAATTAATTAAAGCAGAGAGGCATTCAGTTAAATTTATGACTTGGCGTAGAATCTTTCATTTGTGTCAATTGTTGATTTCATTGAATACATAGCAGAGCTACACTTCTCAGTTACTTCATGCTTGGCAACTTTGTTAGAGTTTTGATTGCTGTCTGTAGCTTGGAGTAGTTACTTTTGTGATTGTTCACTTTCCAAAATTAATGAAGGAAAGCTCCCAGGTCTATATTCATCCTGTACTGGATTTCATAGATACCTATATTTGGTCCGGGAAAAAAAAGGATTACTCGTGTGGCATGTGAGTCCACACAGTGGTTGGTTTGATGAGATTTTTTGGGTGACTTGTGGCTCTAGGATATAAAGGACACTTAAACATGATTGTTGTTGGAATCAAAATATTCTTATTCTCTATTTTAAATTGTCTCGATGTGTAGGTTTGCTTTTCTTTCTTTATTCTCTGTATATACTGTGGCTGAGGTTGGTTGAATGTTGCCGGGAAGAACCAACCTGCGGCCTTGAGGCACTTAGGGCTTCTTGATTGATGTTCTCTGTTTCTGTCCACTGGTTTGACAGGAGTTCACTTTGCTTTGTCTGCAGGACGTTCACACAGAGCTTATACAGTATCAAAGGGCTCAAATGATTAAACAGGGGATAATCACTGACCAATTAAATGTTGATTCACATGCTCGCAAAGCAAATGGTTCATGTCCGTTGATGCCTGAGGAGGTAGATCTTGCCCTTTAATTTATATTAAGTACGATCAATGTAGCGGTGTTTCCATAAATAGACCCAACTTCCTTACCTGTTACTGCATTTGTTACTTTCTTTATCATTTTCATTTTATTTATTTATTTTATTTTTGTCTTGTGGTCTCCTGTTAGGGGATGGATGTGGTAAGAGCATCAGGCACCCACATTGATTTTCTTAAAGAAGATAACTTATCTTAATGTGAAAATTTGTCCATTTTTACCTTAAAGACTAGTTGTTTTATCAGGTAACTTGGCAAAATTTCAGAGATCCTATAATTTATGCAAATATCTGTGACACACACTCACAAACACACTTGTGGGTAGTTACGCTAATAATCTCTCAAAGGAGAAAAGTTTTGAAAATTATGTCAGAGTCTTCTTAGTCAATTTTGCATGGCCTAATGCAGTAATGCTAATTGGTTCAATAAAATACGCGAAACTATAATCTTATTTAACAGAGTTGGTTTTGCGTTGTGCCACAAGAAAAGAAGGATTTCTTGATTTCCTACTTTTGAATAGTATCAAAGGTAGAAAACACCTTTGATTTTCATTTGGAGAAGGGTGGATCCGGGTGGTGCCTATTCAGATGCCTTTAGGGTGTTCTATTCTCTTGGTCATGAAAGAATCCGTCGCATGTTTAATTCTTGTGATGGCAGAGGAGTGGACAAAAAGCAGCAGTTATGTGTCTCATTTCTTTTCTGGTCTTCAGTATCAGTGTGGTTTTCCTCTGTAGATTTGCTTTCGCGCTGTTTGATTTCTATGGGAGTTGCATCTATTTATTGTACTTTTTTACCATCATAGCGAGTTCCAGAAACTCAGATTTTTGTCCTTTCTAAAGCATTCTTTCTCTCACAACCTTCATCACTTGGGTGCTCATAATGCTTTTGGTTTGCCTTTCAGCTAGTCGCTCTCTCTTCTGAACATGGTTTATGATGAATGCCTCTCAGCACCCGTTCCTCACTTAATAAATGGCTTGAGTTGCCTTTAGTTTTATCTTTACCACCAATTTTTTTTGGAATAGGACATACTCAAGGATACCATTACATTTTATAACCTGTGTTCTAAGGTGATGATGCTTCAATACTTCTAATGCAGGTAGGACTGCTCCTTCGGGCAATGGGCTATCCTCCAAAAACAAGAATATATTTGGCTGGTTCGGAGACATTTGGTGGACAAAGGGTTTTGATTCCTCTACGTGCCATGTATGCAAATCTAGCGGATCGAACGTCCTTGTGCAGCAAGCAAGAATTAAGTGACCTAGTTGGGCCAGAAACACAGCTCCCTCTGGATGTGTTCCAGACACCTCCTGTTAAGAGTGTTGACGAACTGGAGGAAGAATGGGATAAGGCAGGTCCTCGTCCCCGGCCTCTTCCTCCACCTCCTGATCGGCCTGTCTATCGGCATGAAAAGGAAGGCTGGTATGGTTGGATTACAGAGAGGGATACGGAGCCGGACCCTTCACCAATTGATTTGAGGAGGCAAGCCCACAGGTTGTTGTGGGCTGCTCTTGATTATATTGTCTCTGTTGAGGCGGATGCATTTATTCCAGGTTTTAATAATGACGGAAGTGGTTGGCCAGATTTTGCGAGCTTGGTCATGGGACACCGACTCTATGAAATTGCTTCTGCCAGAACATATCGACCTGACAGGTACCAGCTTATGTCCAAGAACAAGGATAAATGAGACGGATTATTTTCTAGTAACATGCCAAAAATTTAATTATAGAATGTCTAAAATAAAAACTGTTTTCTATTTTCTTGACTGTTGGAAGCATTTGATCTGATCTCAGTATTGAGGTGCTGGACCTGCTTGCCTTGTAACTTTAGTATAAGTTGCTGCTACCACAAGGAGATCTTCAACTTATGTGGTCTATATCACCTGTTTATCTAGTAGTACCTTTTTATATGCAAAAATTTGAAAGTTGACCACTCATATCCGTACCTGATGTTAAGAGAAATCGAAATCTGATAGTTGCTTAGCCTCCTGGGCTATCACTCCACCCAAGCTAGCAATATGGTAATTTGATTGTCGTTTAGGCATTCATTTATGACTGTTTGCATCAAACAATTCATTTTCACTGTTATATGTGGATGTGCTCAATTTTGTATTAATATCATACAAATGGGCATGATTAGCGAAAGAAAAAGGCATCCTTTTGTATGATAAAGCTGCAGTTACCTATGTGGAGCATGTTACAATTCGGGGTGCACTTGTGCCCTTTGAGCAGATTGTGTGCAGAGAGCTTGGCTGCTTAATGACCTTGTCAAGTACTTTCTTTTCTGTGTTACTGACTGATTGTTTTTGAAGCAGAAAATATATTGTCAAACTCTTTGCCAATGTGTCCGGTAATGTTTACCATCCAAAGCGTAACTGGACGCTCCAAGTGAGAGAGCATCTCAATTCAAGCCTCGGGGAGGTGGGTCTGCTGAGGGAATCCCACTTGTCCAAGAGAACATCATTTCTCTCGCACCCAATTCCCGAGTGCTCATGTCGGAATTTCAGATCATCAGAGACATCGGATGTGGGAAAGGGCAGCGGTGCGAGCCAATATTTGTACAGTGATGAAGTGGAATGCCCCAAGTGGATGCAGCACAGTGCCATGGCTAATAGACCAGAGAATGGCGGCAATGAGAATGAATCTCAAGAGGACGGAGTGGATATGGAAGGTCAGTTAGATTCTGATGAAGACAGTGGTATGACCGAGTCGTCTCTGACCCTAGAGCAAGATGAGGAAATGGATCCCAACGATTAGGATACTTGTACAGGTTACGGTTCATTTTTTGCTTTTTAACATCGGTTATGTTACCCATTTTTTTGCCTTAAACACAATCCTCCCACAATATAGAAAATTCTTTTTAGGAGAGGGCGATTTTACGGAAGCGACGAGTTTTGTATACCCTGGAAGAGCCATTCTTTTGCTTACATCAAATGATTCTGAATTTTTGAATACCATAACCATCTTCGTATGTACTGTAAAAACCTCTCTCTCTCTCTCTGGGGTTACATTTGAGAAAGGATGGGGTGTGGTCTGCATTTCTCGCCAGAGATGTCGCGGTCTTATAAAGTCTCTACAAGACCTCGTGTTTATCAGAGGCTCTTGTTTCTTCACGGACACAATTTGATGGCCGTCCAGCTCTCTCCTTCCTTCCTCTGCCGCTCGTTTGTCACTTCGTCAAGATAAAGACAGATTTTGACTGAGATTTCAAGGATCACTTGCCTTTGAATTCTCTTTTCACGAGAAGAAACATCATATGAACTCTTTCTACTTCAATGCATGATATATTAGGTAAAGCCTGATCAGGTCATATTATTCTTGGTCCGTGGTCTGATCATCTTGAATGTGAAGTTTCCTGAATCTGATACTCTTTGAAAGGGAATTCCTCTCAGCTTTCTAATCATCATTGAAGTGTCGAAAATAGATATATACTCTCGAAAAGTCGGAACTTCCAAATATAGACTTATCAATAAATGTCATCACGGCTCAAAAAGCGACCTCGAATATATATCATACAATTCTCGACAACCTTTGGTTAATCAAAGGACGAAGTCTGATTATTCTATCCTTTTCCCATCAATGCTGGTAAATATTTCTAGTTGTTACCGATAAACCCATCAAAATGGGTAATAGATTCATTTCTTAACCCATATTTGATGGGTTGAATTATTAGAAGAGCTAGTTATATTTAGTAAATGAGTTATAAATGAGTTTAGAATGGTAATACCCAAAACAATATGGGTGTTAAATGAATTCACAACTTATTTAGATCCAATTCACCTCCATGACTCTCTCGCCTAGACTTAATCTCCCGCCTACTTACTCCATGCTCTCACCTCACTTTGAATATTAAATATAGAAGTGTTTCAGGAAAATAGGTTGGGTCGGGTATGTATCATGTATGGGTCACTAGATTAGTTTTGCAGGCCGGATCATTTTTTACCCTATAACTCTTTCTCATTTAGACTCGATTTTGCGTTCGCTTTATAGAAGTGTTTTATCCAATATAAGTTAGGTCGGGTATGTATTGGATATTTTGATCGGATCATTTTTTCTACCTGATTTGACTCGCCCGTAAGACGTATCTAATTACGTCACACAAATGAAATAAAGAACTTCAATTCTAGATGCACGTTAAGTCCAATGTCTGTCTTGGAGGGGAAGCCAGGAAAAAAAAATTACAATATGGAGGGCCAGCGATTAATGGAGGAAAAAGCCCAACCACAACCCCAGAAACTTCGCCAAAGTCAACTCCGTACCATTCTCCTATAAATTATCGGACGACATTCGAATCCGAAAATAAGGTTCAGATCAGGATCAGAACAGTTCGATCGAGAGAGAGTAGAGAGCGAGAGCGAAAGCGAAAGATGGAGGGGATGGTGCTACCGAAGGAGTACGGATACGTGGCCCTGGCGCTCGTCCTCTACTGCTTCCTCAACTTCTGGATGGCCGCCCAAGTTGGCATGGCTCGCAAGAAGTAATCATCTCGAGATCGCTCTCTCCCTTTTCCCAATTCTAATCATTCTCGTTGGTTCCTCCGGACTCGATAACGACCGGGATGATGATTTTCTTGGGTGGTTCCATTCGATCAGGTACCAGGTGTTCTACCCGACCCTCTATGCCTCCGAGTCCGAGAACAAGAACGCCAAGCTCTTCAACTGTGTCCAGGTAATGAACTGCTCCTCCCATCAAGTGAACATGTGAGTCTCTTTTGTCGAATTTGTGTGCTGAAAATCCGAGCTTTTTCTTGTTCTTGAGGTGGGTTTTCTTTGAATGATTTCTTTTGTGTCGGTAATCGTTCTCGGTTTTGAAAAGTAATGATGAGATTGTGGTGGAAATGGTTTGTTGGTGGGACAGAGGGGACACCAGAACTCGCTGGAGATGATGCCCATGTTCTTCATGCTGATGATAGTTGGGGGGTTGAGACACCCTTGCGCTTGCGCTTGTCTCGGACTCCTTTACATCGTCTCCCGCTTCTTCTACTTCAAAGGCTACGCCACTGGCGATCCCCAGATGCGCCTCAAGATCGGGTTCGTGGTTCTTTTGCATCCTGCCATCTCGAGAGAGATTTTTAGGTGTTCTTAGATTAACACGTTGAAAGAATAAACACATATGCTTGATAAAATTTGGTTATGCGGTAATGCGGTATAAGAGCACCTAAAAGTTTCTGGTTAATTCGATTGGGATCTTTCATCACGGGTTTCGAAAAGATTTGATTCTTGCTAATGAGAAATTGGGTGATTTGTTGGTTTCCTTCATTCTTGCAGGAAGTACGGGTTCTTGGCGATCATGGGGCTGATGGTCTGCACCATTTCCTTCGGAGTCGGCCTTCTTCGTGGAGGCGAACCTCGCACCATGTTTTAGACTGCGTCTCCTCTCTGTTGTTGTCTTGTACTCGTTGTCGACAGATGATGTTTCATTTGGTTTTGCTTCTTTAGCATGTTAACGAGAGGATGGAACGATAATAACAGTTTGTTAGTTAAGAGTGCTAGCACAAGTTCAGTTTGAACCTGTCTTCATGTAGCTTTTTGAAAGTTAAATCAATGAGATGAGTTTGGCTTTTCTCTTTTTGGAGGCATTTGATCGAAGCTCTTGGTTCGTAGGGAGAAATCCAGGTTCTTAGTCCAGAGGGCCATCGTTTTGGTTGACCATTGAAGTTGTGCTGTGTACTCTATCCAGTGCAAATAGTCCAAACCAAACATCACACATTTGATGAATGATGAAGAAGTGTTAATTGGTTCACTAGTACCTTCTCAAAGATGAATTGAGTTCTGAAGTCTAGCATGCCGGTTGGTGCAAAGCACAGTGGTATTTAGAACTAGTGGATGGTGTGACCAGCAAGTAGGCACTGCTGTTATATATGAAAGTGTTTGGGGAAAATGAAACTTGAAACTCAAATAGCTATCACCTTGTTACAGAAAAGTCTTTAGCAGAATTATCATATTCATCTGGGAAATAGCAGACTTTTGGGAACAGTGGTAATCAATACAAATTAAAACAAAGGGAACGATGTATTTACAAAAAAACGAAGCATGAAAAGGACAGGAGGAGACAGGTCTGCAGACATGAGATGAAATGGGCCCAAAATTGTGGTTTGTAAACAATGGAAATACTCATTCAAGATCAGTAGGTAGGTCTGTCAATATTGGGGCCGAGAGAAGAAAGTCTTCTCTTTCATCAGCACGCAAACTTGTCCTCCTAAGAGGACATAATCGCTACAGACACGTAGGCCCAATCACCTTGCGAAAATCGTTCATACATCGGGTGTACAAACTCATCCATTGGCTATCGAGCCATGGTTACTTCGTAATCCTCACGAAGACATAAGTTGGAGAGAAGATTAGATGTTTCTGCAAAAGAGTGTTCATGGAATTTGAAGAGCCAAACCTTCAAGAGTTAGAGCAAACTGCTGGTCGATCACCGACTACAAATTATGTGCAAAGGTAGAAAACCCCTTTGGATTTCGTTTGGAGAAGGGTGGACCCTGGTGGTGCCCATTCATATGCCTTTAGTGTGTTCTATTCTATCAGTCATGAAATAATCCATCAAATTTTTCGTTCATGTGATGACAGAGGAGTGGACAAAAACTACCAGTTGTGTGCGTCTCATTTTCTTTTCTGCCTTTCAGTATCAGTGTGGTTTTCCTTCGTAGATATGCTTTTGCACTGTTTGATTTCTGTAGGAGTTGCATCTATCTATTGTACTTTTTGACTGTCTTAGCGAGCTCCGGAAACTCAGATTTTTGTCCTTTGTAAAGCATTCTTTCCGTCACAACCTTCATCACTTGGGTGCTCACAATGCTTTTGGTTTGCTTTTCAGCTAGTTGCTCTCTCTTCTGAACATGGTTTATGATGGATGCCTCTCAGCATCCATTCCTCACGTAATGAATGGCTTGAGTTGCCTCTAGTTTTATCTTTACCACCAATTTTTTTGGAATAGGACATACTCAAGGACACCATTGCATTTTATAACCAGTGTTCTAAGGTCATAATGCTTAACTACTTCTAATGCAGGTAGGACCGCTCCTTCGGGCAATGGGCTATCCTCCAAAAACGAGAATATATTTGGCTGGTTTGGAGACATTTGGTGGACGAAGGGTTTTGATTCCTATACTTTCTTATCAGTGTTACTGACTTATTGTTTTTGAAGCAGAATATATCTGGTCAAACTCTTTGCCAATGCGACCGATAATGTTTAACATCCGAAGCGTAACTGGACGCTCCTAGTGATAGAGCATCTCAACGCAAGCCTCGCGGAGGTGGGCCTGCTGAGGTAATCCCGCTTGTCCTGGACAACATCAATTCTCTCCCACCCAATTCCCGAGTGCTCATGTCGGAATTTCAGATCATCAGAGACATCGGATGCGGGGAAATGGCAGCAGCACAAGCCAGTTCTCGTACAGCAGTGAGGTTGAATGCCCCAAGTGGATGCCGCACAGTGCCGTGGCTAATAGACCGGAAAACGGTGGCAATAAGAACGAATCTCAAGAGGAAGAAGTGAATACGGAAGGTCGGTTAGATTATGATGAAGACGGTGGTGTGACCAAGTCGTCTCTGACCCTAGAGCAAGATGAGGAAATGGATCCCAACGATTAGGATACATGTACAGGTTACGGTTCATTTTTTGCTTCTTAACATCGGTAACATTACACATTTTTTTGGCCTTTACCACAATCTTCCTACAGTATATAAAAATTCTCTTTAGGAGAGGGCGATTTTACACTGGAGCGACGAGTTCTTGTATACCCTGGAATAGCCATTCTTTTGCTTGCATCAAATGATTCTGAATTTTTTAATACCATAACCATCTTTGTATGTACTGTAAAAATCTCTCCGTCTCTCTCTCTCTCTCTGGGGTGTGTTTATCAGAACCTTTCGTTTCTTCATGGACACATATTGATGGATGTCCAGCTCTCTCCTTCCTCTGCCGCTCGTTTGTCACTTTGTGAAGATGAAGACAGATTTCGACTGAGATTTCCAGAATCGCTGCTTTTGAAGTCGCAACTTCCAAATATAGATTTTATCAATAAATGTCATCACAGCTCAAGTAGCGAACTCCTTTCCTTTGGCATATACACCCATTCTCGACAACCTTTGCTCGATCAAAGGACGAAGTCTGATTCCTCTGTCCTTTTTCCCATCGATGCTGGTAAACATTTCTCGTTGGTACTCCCACATAAATGAAGAAGGGAATTTCAATCCTAGAAGCACGTTAAGTCCAATGCTTGTCTTGGAGAGGAAGCCGGAAAAAAAGAAAAGCACAAGTTGATATGAAGGGCCCATAGATTAACGGGAAAAACCCAACCGCAACCCCCAGAATCTCCAAAAAAAGTCAACTCCATACTCTGTACACGTTATCCGACAACATTCGAATCCGGACATCAGGTTTAGATCAGTATCAGAACAGTACGGGAGAGAGATAGAGAGAGTAGAGAGCGAAAGCGGAAGATGGAGGGGATGGTGCTACCGAAGGAGTACGGATACGTGGCTCTGGTGCTCGTCCTCTACTGCTTACTCAACTTCTGGATGGCTGCCCAAGTTGGCATGGCTCGCAAGAAGTAATCATTCCGAGATCGTTCTCTTCCTTTTCCGATTCTAATCATTCTCGTTGGTTCCTCCGGACTCGATAATGACCGGTATGATGATGTTCTTGGGTGGTTCCATTCGATCAGGTACCAGGTGTTTTACCCGACTCTCTATGCCTCCGAATCCGAGAACAAGAACGCCAACCTCTTCAACTGTGTCCAGGTAGTGCACAGTTCCTCTCTGAAATTTCGCTTCTGTACTTACCTCCCGTTTATTTATTACTCTTAACTGAGATGGCGTCCGTCCCCATCAAGTAAACATGTGATTCTTTTTTGTCGAATTTGTACTGAAAATCCGAGCTTTTTCTTGTTTTTGAGGTGGGTTTCTTGGAAACATTCCTTTTGTATGGGCAGATGATATGTAATTTGTCGGTATTCTTTCTCGGTTTTAAGAAGTGATGATAATTGTGGTGGAAATGGTTGGATGGTGGACAGAGAGGGCACCAGAACTCGCTGGAGCTGATGCCCATGTTCTTCATGCTGATAATGGTTGGGGGGCTGAGACACCCGTGCGCTTGCGCTGCTCTCGGAGTCCTTTACATCGTCTCTCGCTTCTTCTACTTCACAGGCTACGCCACTGGCGATCCCAAGAAGCGCCTCAAGATCGGGTTCGTGGTTTTTTGGCATCCTGCCATCTCGAGAGAGATTTTTAGGTGTTCTCAGATTACCTTGTTGAAAGAATAACCACGTATACTCGATAACATTTGGTTATGCGGTGAAGCGGTATAAGAGCACCTAAAAGTTTATGGTTAATTCAATGGGGATCTTTCCTCATGGGTTTCGAAAAGATTTGATTCTTGCTAATGAGAAATTGGGTGATTTGTTGGTTTCATTCATATTTGCAGGAAGTACGGGTTCTTGGCGATTCTGGGGCTGATGGTCTGCACCATTTCCTTTGGAGTCGGCCTTCTTCGTGGAGGCGAACCTCGCACCATGTTTTAGACTCTGTCTCCGCTCTGTTGTTGTCTTGTACTGCTTGTCGACAGAAGATGTTTCATTTGGTTTTGCTTTTTTGGCATGTTAAGAGAGGATGGAATGGAACAATAATAACAGTTTGTTAGCTAGAGTGCTAGCACAGTTTGACTTCAGTTTGAACCGGTCGTCATGTAGCTTTTTGAAGATTAAACCAATGAGACGAGTTTGGCTTTTCCCTTGTTGGAGGCATTTGGTCGAAGCTCTTGGTTGGGAGGGAGAAACCCAGATTCTTAGTCCGGAGGGGCATCGTTTTGGTTGACCAGTGCAAACAGTCCAAATAAAACCAAACATCACACATTTGATGAATGATGAAGAAGTGCTAATCGGTTCACAAGTACTTTCTCGAAGATGAATTGAGTTCCGAGTCTAGCATGCCGGTTGGTGCAAAGCATAGTGGTATTTAAAACCAGTGGATGTTGTGACCAGCGAGTAGGCACTGCTGTTATACATGAAAGTGTTTGGGGAATATGATGCTCGAAACTCAAATAGCTATCATCTTGTTACAGAAAAGTCTCTAGCAGATCCATCATGGTAACAGCACACTTCTGGGACCAGTGTAATCAATACAAATTGAAACAAAGGGAACGATGTATTTATGAAAGGAAGAAGAAGCATAAAAAGGACAGAAGAAGACAGGTCTGCAAATATGAGATGAAATGGGCCCAATTGTGGTTTGTAAACAAAGGGAATACTCGTTCAAGATCAGAAGGTAGGTCTGTCAACACCGAGGCCGAGTGGGAGTAGGTCTTCTCTTTCATCAGCACATAAAGTTGTATTCATAAGAGGACAAAATCACTATAGATATGCAGGCCAAGTCACCTTGCGAAAATCTTTCATATACATTGACGGTGTACGAACTCATCCATAGGCTATTGAACCATTGGTTACGTCGTAATCCTCATGAAAACATGAGATGGAGAGAAGGTTGGATGTTTTTGCGAAGGGGTGTTCACGGAATTGAAGAGCCAAACCTGCAAGGCTCGGTGCAAATTGGCGGTCAATCATCGAACTCGGCTACATTAACTTCAAATTATGTGCAAGCAGGGTTGCTGCTTCATGCTACGAGCTCATTTACATTCTCATCATCATTATTCTCCATTTGTGTCATTATCCCTAATATTACTAAAGCTTCTTTCGTTATATAAGCTGCACAATTATTACTATAGTTAACTTCTATTGCACATGAATATCTAAAGAACAATAAAACTCCGTTTGTTTCGCAAAAAATATGATATTCTAGAAAATATTTTTCAGGAAGTCAGTTTTCAAAAACATAATAATATTTTCCGGTGTATGAAATCAGAGAATGAACTAGAAAATATTTTCCGCCGTTTGGTATGGAAAATCCGATTTAATTTTCCTAGGGAAAATTACAAAAAAAAAATTCAAAATTTTCATTATTTTATTTTTATAGTTTTTATTTTCTTTCTTATTCTTATTCTTTTTCCTTTTTCCTTATCCAATCGCCCGACCACGGCGACAATCGGCGATCAGCCACAGGCGAGGACGAGCTCGCCCAAGGCCGGTGAGCTAGTTGAGGCTCGAGATCGCCCGAGATGCCTTCGGGGAAGAGGCCGCCTTAATCTAAAGTGGACGCGTTGCTCTTCTTCTTCGTCTCCATCTCATCTTTGCCTCATTTCCAACTTCAACAAACACTCATGGAGAAATGCCTCTCCATCGCTTTCCGATCAATGAACCTCTTCCCCGAACGCATCGCCTAAGACAAGGTGTCTCACTAGCCTAGGGCAAGCTCAAGTATCGCCAGCTATTGCCATGGCTGGCGATTGGCCGAAAAAGAAGCAAAAACAAAAGAAAGAAAAGGAAATGAAAGAAAAAAAATTAAATTAATTTTTTTTTAAAAAACATTTTTATTAAAACGAACATTTCATTAACTAAGAACCCGAGTCCGACCATCAAGAATCTGAGCACGACCTTCGTGTACCTAAGCCTGAGTGCCGGGGAGTAGAGTCGAGTATCAGGGACTCGAGCACGAGCACGAGGGCTTTGGGTACAACCTCAATAGATCTGGGCCTAGGCGTCAGAGACTTGGTCCTAAATGACGGGAACTTGGGAACCATTGTTGGGATTTTCATGCCCAAGCACAGAGTTTCGGGTCCAAGCGCCGATAACTAGTCATGCTTTGGAAAATATTTTTTGATTTTTCGAAAAGGAAATCATTTTCTTGAATTTAAGTATAGGTTTTCTGTTGACTTAGAAAACATTTTCCATTGACCATTTTCCTAAGTAAACCAAACGCGGAAAAATGAGGAAATATTTTATGCAAAACAAACGGAGCTGGGTGCGTTTGTTTAGGGGAAAACTTCATGATAATAAAAAAAAATCTTTCCAGGAAATTATATTTCAGGAAAATGGTTACTTTTCATATGTTTGGTCATATGTGATCGAAAACATTTTCTAGTGTTTGGATCTCATTTGAAAAATAATTTCAATCTCATGACTTTATCTCAAGAAAAAAAAAATTGAGTTTTTAGTAATTTTTGTATTTTTTCTTTTCTTTTCTTTTTTTATTTTTATTTTTATTGTTTCTTTTCTTTGTTTTTCTTTTTGTCTTTTCCTTCTTCCTCTTCCTCCAGTTGCCGGGCCTTGGCGACAGCCGCGACAGACCACTAGTGAGGGCCGACCTGGCCAGCCTCGGGTAGGGTCAAGCCTCGCCGGCCTTAAATATCAAAAACGTCGACTGCTGGAAAAGTAATCGCCGCCCTAATCGTAAGGGGTGAAATTAAGGAGGATTAGGTCCGTCATCGACGTGTTTGTTGGATGCATAGAATGCAGAGTGTGAACTAGAAATCACAGAGAGAGAGAGAGACGGAAAGCGTGACGACAGGCATGAGGTCAAGAAATATAGGTCAAGAAACTATGGTGGTGGCCATAGAAGACGTAATGTCAACGGGTTCGCTGATCTTACACGCGCTAAGATTGCTTATACTGATAGGATTAAAATAGGATTATGCACAGTACACACGCAAGTTTCATACGAAAAACGTTGACGCGGGTTGCAGTCTTGACTTGGTCGTGCCGAAATTGCAATCTTCAAGACGATATCAAGTTGATATCTTGATATAAAGTCCCTCTCGGAGTCTTAGTCAGCACACGCTTTTAAACCATTTTCGAGGGTAAAAATAAGGGATGGTTGGTCTGTTTAAGGTGTTTTCTTTATGTATGCGTGGTCAGATTGGTCTGCTTTGACATTGCTACACCTGTTTGACGTGTGTGTATACATATGCCGGGTATATTTGAAAATGAAAAATAAAAGGATTTATTTCACAGACTCTTTGAAAGGAACACATAATTGTGCATGTTGATATCTGTATGTTTTCAGTGATGCCAGGTATTTCGTGTTAAACAGGAATCATCCATGTAAATGGTAATTTTTAAAAAGGAAAAATGAAAGTTACAAGTACTTCCATAGGTTGAAGATAAAATTCACAAAACGAAAGCTCCGTTTATTTCGTGAAAAATAATTGATTTGAAATGTATTTTCCTAAAAAAAAAATCCCTTGTATCGTTTAAAATAATTAATCAATGAAAATTATCTTCATTTTTTGCGAAACAAATGGAAGCCAAAGTTTACGATGTTCTTTAATGTCCTATCTCTTACAAATAAGAAAACTAGGCTGCTCATTATGTTATCTCATGAACGGGGAAACTAATACAATCATATTGGAACGACATATATTATCCTTTCGTTTATATTATTGTATAAAGGGGATAAGTGCACTAAAGGTCTTAAGATTTATCACGAAAGTGTAATTGAGTTTTAAAACTTACAAAAAGTGCAGTCAAGTTTTAAAACTCGTCAAATTAATACAATCAAAGTCCTTTCGTTAACTCCGTCCAACTTGGATAACGAAAAATACTAATGTGATTTTTTAATTATTCTCTATCCTACCTGGCGATGGCACGGCCAAAATGACGTCATTTTGATCAAAATTTAATTTTTTAATAAAATTTTTATTTTAAGTTATATTAAAAATAAGCTAACTTAAAAAAATAAAAATAAAAGGAGGAAAAAAAGAGGGAAAAGCCGGCGGGGCCCTTTGGCCACTCGTCGGCCATCCCCCCGCCATCGCTGGCCTTTCCTGGCCATGGTGGGACCACGGCGGCGAGGGCTGTGAGCCCCCATCTCTTTTAATTTTTTAATTTAGCTAATTTTAATTTAATATTTATATTAAATTTGGGTTAAAAAATCAGATTTTGATCAAAATGACGTCGTTTGAGCCTTATACTTCATATTTTAGCCATGCCATCGCCACAAATAAATGAAAGTTGCATTGCCGTGATTTGAGATTGCTTAACCTTATATTCGAGGTGTTTACGTCAAGTCGAAGGTCAAGCCTTAGATGTAGTGGTTATGGCCAATGTTGGGCGATATGTAACCCTTGTGTTGGTTGTGGGGAAAAAGACATCATAAGTATTATAACTTTCACACAACACTCATTTCAGTGCTAAAATTTTTCGAATGATCACTTGAGTGCCACATCGGCGGAAAAACGATTATTTAAGTGCCTACAACGACAAATTCCGGTGATTCATCCTACGTTAATTAAATTTAAATTCCTTCATGACTTTCTTAAAAAAACATGGATGCCTAACGTGGACGATGACCTAGCCATTCTCGATAAAAATGATGCCGCTGCAGGTCAAAATCAACTCTCTCTATCTCTCTCTCTCTCTCTCTCTCTCTGAAGCTAAGCAGTGGCCATGGCGTCACTCACTGTTTCGATATCCTGTCGCTCCTCACGATTTGGTCTCTCTGCATGCATTGGTCAACGAAGCAGAAAAGCCAAGGAAGGGCACCCAGTCTCATCGATTCGTTCTCTCTCTCCTGCATGACTCGGACACTTGTCGGTTTTGTTCTCTCAACTCTTGCTCGCGCTTCTTGACTGTGCTATTTTTGTTTCTCCCCTTAGAAATTTGCTAAAAGGAGGAAACCTGCTCTCCATTACAAATTTCAACACCTAATTTTACCACCAATTTTCTATTGGCGGATTAGGGTTAGAAGAAGAGAAATTCGTTAATTTGGGACAAAGAATGTGTTCGACAACGTTATTTCGATCTAATCATGCTGATTTCACTTTACCAGCAAGCCATGTTGCACGATTTATATTAAAAATATGTGAGATTTGGTGGGACCACTGTTAATTGTTCTCAAAGCTTAAGCTGTTAGATGAAGGCGTAGCTTAATATTTAATTATTATATCAAAATATCGTGCGTCAGATTTTCCAACAGCACAAGTCGCGAATGGCATTGAAGTGATTGTTTTTTATTTTATTTTATGAAAGTGGCACTGAGTGACCATTAAAAAAGTTTAGGCACTGAAATAAGTATAGAACAAAAATTATGGCACTTCTGATGGTCATTTACCTTGGTTGTGCTGCTCCATGCTCGGTGGGGGCGCCTATGTTGCCTAATTATGGCGAGGGTGCTTTGTGGCGATGATGACGTCATGGCTAATGGCGATGCGGTGGTGTTGGTCGAGTCTGATGGTGGTGCTAGTGGTGATTTTTCCGAGTCAATGGTCCGGCAGCGGTGTTCATGTCCAACGGCTATAGAGAGCGATAAGTGGGACAGCATCATGTTGTGTTTTTGAGAGAGAGAGAGAGAGAGTGAGCGAGCGAGCTGATGCGTAGATACGAGCATGTGCTAATTAATGGAAAATCGACATCGTAAATGAAAGGGCTACGTTAAACAGGTTTAAGGAGATTTAGGAACTAGATTGAAAAGTGATTGAAAACTATATTGAACTATGAAGGACTCCAAAGACTACTGGCCGTGAGAACCCTTGTCCGAAATCTATTGGCTCCTGCTGAAAATATACTCTGAAAATATACTCAAAATAGAACCTAATCGAATCGCTGGTATTCCGTTGCTAGCATAACAATCTTTAGGCCAATGTGAGAGTAACAGCACGTTGTGAGCCACAAATTTTTAAAAGAGTGGATCCAATAATAATTTATAATTATTTATAATCTATTTTTTTGTGATTCAGATATACTGTTAATCTCACGGTAGATTAAGACCGTTACTTAATCATTTCTCATCCGTAAAGCTTGCCGCACAAAGGAGAAAGAAGGTATGAGAAGTATAACAAGCCGCACGCAATTAATGTGAACCAAAAATAAATCGTGCAGGTCAAGTTCAGATAAGGGACAGAATCTAGAATTTAGACGCTCGGTCTTCCAAACTAAACGTCCAACGTCTCCCATCGTTTTGTTCCCCTCGAACGACTTTCACCAGATTCGCATGAAAAAAAGGACACAAGACGAGACGCTCCATGGTGCAACTCCCACCTTATTAGGGCCAGGCCAAACCTAAACGTAACGGAAGGCGGCGGGGCGGCGCGTACCCCACTTTCCTATCACGCGGCGTCGTTTTCGTCTGTTGAAGGCGCGGGATGTCCGCGCTCCATCCGGGTAAAGAACGGAACAAGCGTTCTAGAAGCGTGCAGTGCAGACCCAGACACATTTTGTTGAATTTCTTTGCCCGAACGAAGAGCCAACGCATGTGAGAAAAGGGTCGAACGAACGTATCGAAAATCATCGACCCAAAAGTCAAAGATGGGAACTTTCATCCGAGCCTACAAGTCTGACCTTATCAAACGTGTGCTTACGAAACCTTAGGAATAGAGAGAAAAACATATAAAGAGACCCGTCTCTCTACTCTACCCTATTGCATTTCTATCGCACCCCTTCTCCTTTCTGGTCCATTCGCATCGCAGCTTCTTGATCTTTTGCTTCCTGAGCTCTCTCTCTCTCTCTCTCACCACCAATGGCGGATCACCAGCGCGTCCACCCTGCCGGCGACCCCGAGGCCCCGCAGCCCCAGACCGCTCCCCTCGTGCCCCGCAACTCCTCCAAGTCCGACAACGGCGACCCCGCCCCGCAGGGTAATGTGTACTACCCGCCGATGCACCGGACCCTCCCCGTGGCCCACTCCAAGCCCCCGAAGCGTGGCCGGAGCTGCCTCTGCAAGTGCTTCTGCTGGACCTTCTCCTTCATCGCCCTCCTCATCGTCGCCATCGCCATCACCGCCGGGATCCTCTACCTCGCCTTCCGGCCGAAGCTGCCCAAGTTCTCCATCGACGCCCTCCAGATCACGCAGTTCAACCTTGGCAACGACAGCAGCCTCAACGCGACCTTCGACGTGACCATCATGGCACAGAACCCGAACAAGAAGATCGGCATATACTACGAGGGCGGGAGCCGGATCACTGTGCTGTACTCCGGGGACCAGCTATGCCAGGGCGCGCTGCCCAAGTTCTACCAGGGCCACCGGAACACGACGGTGCTGGTGGTGCCACTGTCCGGGCAGACGCAGAACGGGACGGAGCTGCTGTCCCAGCTGCAGGCGCAGCAGCAGGCGACGGGGTCGATCCCGCTGAACCTGAGGGTGAGGCAGCCGGTGAGGGTGAAGCTCGGGAAGCTGAAGCTGTTCAAGGTCAAGTTTTTGGTCCGGTGTCTGTTGGAGGTGGACAGCTTGTCCGCGGACAATAGTATTCAGATCAAGAGCAGTAGCTGCAAGTTCAGGCTTCGGCTATAAATCTTTTCGCCTCCACTTTTTCCATTCTTTTTCTTGATTATTTTCTCTGTCTTCAATAAGGGGGGTCGGTATTTTCCGATTGCTCCCCCGGATGGTATAGGTACATAGCCGTATACACACACAGACCGATTGATTATACAGTATTTATACATGTAGGACCGGCCATTCGTACTATTCATCAGATGTTCTCTTTCTCTCTCTCTCTCTCTCTCTCTCTCTCTCTCTCTCTGTGGCGTTCTTGGAGATAGTATAGCTGATTCGCTTCCTCTCTTGCTCCTCCAAATTCATAACTGATCATAACTGCGCGTGTCGAATCGAATCCCATCTTCATCGAAAGCTTCTGGATGGCTTGGGACTGTCAATGTCCATTCCAATCCACGCAAGGTGAAATTTACTGATGCACGTATGGATTAGCTTATCGTAGGAGGAAAATGGTTAAACGTTTCTCCGCTAAGCAACCAACTAATTCAATGACTTTGCGAGCTTCCTCGAAAGCTCTTGCTTTCGCAGTTTTATATCTGCCCTCGAGTCAAGCGTGGATAGTTTATTCGTTCTTCTGCAGCTCCTTGCAATTTCTCTCTCTCTCTCTCTCTCTCTCTCTCTCTCTCTCTCTCTCTCTTCCTTGCTTGTTCAAATGACCTTTGAAGTTGATTGATGCACAACTACATCGTCATGAGGGAGATAAAATTGACTTTAAATCCATACGCCTTGATCACGGTAAGGTCATTCCTTATTTTTCCCCCCTGAAATATATGGAAATTTAAGTTAATAATTCTATCCGAATAATTGCGTAATTGAGGACGGTAGATTCTGAAGAGGAGTTTGTCAATTTAAAAAGTTGGTAATTAACAAGGCAAACGAAAATTGTTAAATGATGGCAGTATAAAGTACAAACATATAAATATTTATAATTCAAATGAAGGTTGACATCCAAAAACTGGTCATTGAATTAATTGGGGAGAAATCGATAAGTCGCCAAAAATAAAGCTTCCTCATGAGTATGACAGTTGGCAGAATTGAGTTGTAGTTAAGAATAGTGAATAAAGGTAGAAAAAGGTAAGGGGGGCTTTTTATTTTGAGAGAAGAGATATTGGTAATGTAAACAAATGTTGATAGCAAACTCAAGTGGGAGTTGGTAATGTAAAATTAGTTGGTAATTTAATCGGAGAAAAATTGATAATTACTCTAACTGAGCTTGGTAATTTCTAAAGAGAAGTTGGCAAATTTAAAAATCGGTAATTTTCAAGACAAATAAAAGTTGTCAAACAATAAGAAAAGTTGGTAAACTAAAAACATATAAACATTGAAAAAGCAACTCAAATGAAAATTGGAAGCAAAACTAGTCAATGACTTCATGAACGAGAATTTGGTAATTACTCAAATCACGGTTGGTAATTTGAAGCGTGGCTAAAAAAAAGGTAGGTAAGTTCATATAAAAATTGGTAAATTTGAAGCGTGGCTAGAAAAAGGCAAATAAGAGTTGGTAAACTATAAAAAAAGTTGGTAATTAATCTGTTAAAGAAGTTGGTAGTTTCATAAAAGTGTCGATAAGTTATCAACAAGTTATTGAGAAATTAGGCGACCCATAATTTCTTTTACCAAAAATTGTTTGACACCTGCATACTCTTTCAGTAATCAATCAACATGAAAAGACAGTTTTCGTTTTTCTTTTTAAGGAACAATAGAATCGTTTATCATGGGATCAAATAGCAAGATAGAACAGTTTATTTTGTTTGAATGCAGATATTACAATTCATTTTCATGATGTTTTTCCACAGTGAATGACAATTATCATGTCCGACCAAAAAAAAAAAAAGGAATGACAATTATCACGTCATGGAGAAGCGTTCCTTATTATGAAACACTAAATTTTCCAATATCCCTTTTTTTTTTCTTTCTTGTATATTTTCTTTAGTTGGGTGATGAAAGCGATTAGAGATTTTGCGGATCTTTGGGTTGAGATAAGCAACGACAATCTTACGAATGTTATTTTGTTCACATATACCATTCACATACCTCTAAACAAAACTCGATATTGAAAAGACCGAATTGCCTCTCGTTCAAACTCATTTGAGCAAATTGCTTAGGGTTTGGGTTGTATTGTCTGTAGTTAATTTGTGGGTATGAAATTTTTTTTTATTTGAAGTGAGCACCTTTTGAAAGAAAAATAGCATTTTCGTAGGACACAAAACTAATTAATGTGAATCCGCAGATTGATTTCTAAAGGTAAAATTCAGGTATGTATTTAATATTTTCAAAAATAAAAATATGTAAATATTCATTGAGTGAAATTTGAGGCATATTTATATCATTTTAACTTCTTTATAATTAAAAAACAAGAAGAAGTGGTCACCTCAGTTGACCAACGACCACTCAATTAATTTTCGGAAGCTTCCGCTATTGTTTTCATGATGTTATGTATCTGTTCCGCGTTATTCAAGATCAACTCATCTGGATGGTTTTTCGTTTTTCCGTAACACGGTTATTCGGACCTCGTGACTCGACTAATCTCCGCACATATGCACAGACCGTCTTGTCTACGCGCATCGAGCGAGATTCTATCCACAGGGTGGCGAGCGCAGCCTCCAAGAAGGTTGCTATGGGCGAGTAACGCTGTGATCCCAAACTAAGCGCTTAACGATTCAACCGATTCATGAGATTTTTATTTTTTGTCTCGCTCCTTTCTTTTATGTATATATGTCTGCGGTGCTCACGGGGATCAAATCCCGAACCTAGTACTCTCTGACCCAATCCACCAATCCCTTTACCGACAGGGCCGCATGCCTGTTAGCACCCGATCCTCTCTCCTCCTTGTTTCGATGACCTTTGAATTTGACCTTTTCTTTCCAAACCAAACCTACTCCATATTTGATTGGAAGATAATGTCCTTTTGTTACACTGCGGTTTATGGGTCGGACAGGTCGGGCCTGACCCAACTGATTTGGGCCTATTTGATAGTAGCTTGATTTTCAATTCTTTTTTTAAGAGTTAATTGATCGAAATCCTCCTCAATCCTTTCGCATTGTTGCACAAGTACCCTCAAACTTTGAAAAGTTACAAGATTACCTTTCTCGACTCGGGCATCGTTGCGTAATAGCCACGAACTTCGAAAAGCTATAGATGACCCGTGGATTTCGATTTTCAGTTACCGTCGTTAATTGTTCCGTTCACATAGCCATTAAAAGGATATATATTTGAAAATGGACAAGCTCATTTTTCTTAACCAAGATAACATCAGCTAATTATGTTAGTGAAGACAATAGTTCGAGAAAGTCTTGTAACTTTTCAAAATTAAGGGGTTTAATTTTTAACCTTTCAAGAGCAACTCTGATTACTCATTTATGGAATTTCAATGCTTATATTTACATATGTGAAATGGCTTACATGATAATGCTGAAAAAAAAAATATTCATCAAACGAAAGAGGCTCACCCGTCCTTGCTAAGGGGCCTTGGATTTTGATGTGGATAGAAATGAAGGGACCTAAGTACAATCTTCAATCTAGTGGTGCCAAATGGCAAGGTGAGGATGTCTTCGGCTCTAAATCCACTATTTCAGCCTCGAATTTCCAGTCTATTTGGTGAAACTTAAAAAAAAAAATGAGTGTTGAAAATTCAACTCCTGAATTTTAAGTACTGATAATCTTAAGTGCTAACAATTGGGATAACAAGTTATCGTGATAGCTGAAAATTCAATAGCTAAATATTACTAATCTCTTACCAAAAATAGAAAAATGGCCATCGTCGGTAAGCTTTATCAATACATTTTGGCAAGATTCTCATTAACACAAACTATTTGCTAAACGAATTAAGTAACTCCTCTCTACTTACCAGATCAAATGGATTTTTGACTTAACTCAATCATTTAGGTCAATTCTATTTTACATTACCAAACAAATCCAATCTCATTAAATGCCGAATCCTTAATTTCCAACACCTACGCGGGTTATCAAACATGCCCCGATGCCTTATTGAACAGAGTTACAGTGGCCCAAATGGGGAGACATTCGGCCGAACCGGGCCCATGATGTAAAAAATGTCGAATTCAAGGCACACAAATGGGGTAACGCCCGAGTGGTCCAAGGTGCGCAATTGGATCCGAGAAAGGAATTGGCTTGCGCCCAGATCCGCCAATCTTCAGGCCTACTTTCCAGAGAGGTTACTTCCTTGCCGGACCAAAACTAGGGTAATCGTACCGATTGAGACTGGTAACAAGAAGTTCATTACCACTTACTACCCACGAAGCAGCATTTTCACCACCGATGATATCGGAACCAAAAGAAAGCGTTCATTTTGGAATAAGCTCGACATTTCCATGGAACCGGCTGTTTTCTGTCGCTTTCCTCGGCCCTACCATCCCCGCACAGTAGCAGACCACGATAGAGAAAAGGGAAAACGACACAGACGGTCCCGAACCAATGTACAAATGTCGTCCTCAACTTTTAAATTGTTCGACGTGATTCCTGAACTTTTGGTACATGTTCAATTTAGTCCCTGAACTATATGAAAATGTTTAATGCTCTATTAAATATGTATCAAAGGTTTATGGATCATATTGTACAATTTAAAAGTTCATGGACCACATTACACATTTGGCTAAAATTTATAGACCATTTATACTATTATCCCTAAAAATAATTCAAATTTCTTACTCGTGATGCTTGCTTGGCACGAGATAACGTGTTTCTCGTCCGAAGCCAACTCCCCTTGTTTCAACTTTTGACGAGACATTCGATAGCGAGATCCTCACGAAAATTCTATATCCATGCATTATCGAACACGCTATATCCATGCATTATCGCACACAGACCACAGATGGGTAAATCACATGCAAAATCACATTGGAGCCGTGGGAGAAAAAAAAACCATTAGCGTCGAGTCTCCCATCACGTCCAGCCTGAACTACTCTGTGCCTTGTCCTCTTCGTCGAGTTTTCCGTGACGTGACGGTCATAAACTCTCCTAATTCCGCGGTGGGCGGAGTCCTCCAAAAGATGTGCCCGCCACGTAGAAATCTCGCTCCTGCTCAATAATGTTAATGGGATATTGGTGCCGATCTGGGACCCTAGAATAAGGACATACCACTGATCGTTGGACAAGCTATCAAAAAATGACGGAAAGGATCCATCGCATGTGTCTTTTTCACATGGAAGCATCGACTTTGATCTCCAGCGGTCCAGTCAGGGAACAGAGCATTGTAACTTCAAGAGCCCTGGTTGGTTTCGATACGGTTCGACGTCGTGATGCATCGTGGTGGGCCGCAGCAGGTAAGTTCGCAGGAACGTAAATTTTATGTTGGTTTTTACCGTAATAGTAGAAGTGGGACTGATGCAGATCTTAGTGCTGTGGCTTCGTTGTGGTGTGGTGTGGTGTGAATCTTGCGATGTGCTGCGAGTGGATAGCCTTCGCTATAAGACGTGTTCCAATTCTTCCAGCTCCTTCCTCCGATGTCTCTAAAAAAGGATTTATGAGTGGGAACTACTTTTCTCTAGAGTGAATGTTCTTCACTTCTTAGCCTTTTCCATTGCTTACTTTTAAAATCTGTCGATTGTACTTAGTAACAGGCACATCAGCACGAAACCCGCTTCCAACTCCCTTCTTCACGCCAAGCACAGATTCACAGTGCATGCATGCAAGCGTTGCGCCCAATGACCACCGCCGTGTATGGAATAGTATGACTATGCCGTCGTCGGCGGAGCTGACCTAAGCTCCTGAGGTGTCACCAACTACTCTCTCCCTCTCTTCGTATGCATGCTACCGAGATCTAGATTGAAGGAACAAATACAGGCCGAGAAAATCACCAACTCTTATAGTGCACACAGACAAGTTACTTTTTCGAAAAGTTGCCTATTCATGTAATGCTCTAGTCTGAACTCGCTGAAAATAGAAGTTGATGCCAAATGATGTCGTGACATCAAAAGACGCGTCTCGTGAGTCAATTCTAATTTCACATATTTAATCTAGCAATGCTCTCCTTCAGCTCGGTGTGTTATTCGTTTCATTCATGCCCTGTCATCTTAGAAGTTTGCCAATACTCGTACCTTGTCAAGGAGAAAGTATTCATTGCTATCATACCACCATGTCACATGCTGATGTGACACGTATGTGTCTAGTTAGAACCTATCAAAAAGTGACGCGCGTAAAAATTTGAAGCCTCTTGTATTAAGAAAAGGAAATTTGCTAAAGCAATCGAATTAATTGTGCTGATAGGGTAATAAATGCCTTCTAAATTTCAATTGAGCTCCCATGTCTTCTTCCTTTTCATTAACTTTCCTCATTTCCTTTTTTTGTTTTTTTGAAAGGAAAACCTCCATTGGAGAAAAGCAAAGCTCCAAAGGTCCGACGTCCGGTCGTGCAGCACCAGGTTAGTCATTTTTTCTACTCTTTTTACTTTTAGAAATTTTGTCATTCCGTAAATTTTCCCCAATTTTTTTACTTCTAAAGTTAAGATCTCCATTGCGGTGGTGCGAAGCTTCGGTTAACGTAGCACTTGGTTCAGTTTTTTTTCTCCACTCTTTGACTCTTATACGTTTAGAAATGTGCATCCCACGCAATATCCTTTTACCGATGTTTGCTTTTTGGGAAAAGTTAGTAAAAGAGTCGAAGAGTGGAGAAGAAGTCGGTGCCGCGGGAATCAAAGCTTCGCACCTCTGTAATTGAGATTTTACCTTTAAAAAACCAAAAAAAAAAATTTGGGGAAAGTTTAAGAAATGACAAAATTTCTAAAAGTAAAAGAGTGAAAAGAGCAGAGAAAATGACTTACTCGTGCTGCGCCGCTGGACCTTCGGAGCTTTGGAGCCTCGCTTTTCTCCATGGAGGTTTTCGTTTCAAAAGGAAAAAGGAAATGAGCAAAGTTAATAGCAACGGAACGTAAAAGAATTCGAGCATAGAAGACATGAATGGGCGCTCAGATGAAACACGGAAAGCAATTTTTGAGAGAGAGAGACATGAGTGGTCGGTGAGACGCGATGGCGACGAGTGGTCAGGAAGCCGGTGGCGTGGTGGATGGTTGCATGAAGAGGAAGGGAAAGGATTGAATTAGTACTTCAAGAAGGGTTTGTGTGATCCTCTCTCACGGGAAATATAATAAATAAAAATTTCGCATATTAATTTTACGATTGATGGTTTATTTGAGAGTCGATAGGCACAAGTAACCCGAATTTTTTGCCCCACTTTTTCATTTTTATAAAAATAGCCTCCGGTCCATGTGCCGTGTGGAGTGAGTGTCAAATTAACCATTTGCCTAGATAAACACAAACAATAATGGTAAGGGACAATGACTCAATTTTTAAAGGGGGCGTGCCAAATTATCGTTGGTTGCTTAATTATATTTTCCTTATTTAAATACGTGGCTATAGTTTATCACATCAATTATTTTATAAGTTAATTATACAAACAACTTTCTATACCTTTCTATGCAAAACGCCAACAAGAAGACGGTTGACCCCGCTCATCGCCACCAAGAAGACGGTCGAGAGAGAGAGAGAGAGAGAGAGAGGCTGTAGCCATGGACGAGCTGAAGCCCAGCCCTCCGAACTCATCGCCGCTGACCCCGCTCGGCTTCCTCGAGAGAGCCGCGGCCGTCTACGGCGACTGCCCCTCCGTCATCTACAACGACGCCACCTACACGTGGTCGCAGACCCGCGGCCGGTGCCTCCGGGTGGCCTCGTCGCTCGCCTCCGGCGGCATCAGCAGGGGCGACGTGGTCTCCGTCGTGGCCCCCAACGTCCCCGCCATGTACGAGCTCCACTTCGCCGTCCCCATGTGCGGCGCCGTCCTCAACAACATAAACACCCGCCTCGACGCCCGCACCGTCTCCGTCCTGCTCCGCCACGGCGGTTCCAGTCTCATCTTCGTCGACTCCCAGTCTCGCGCCATCGTCCTCGAGGCCCTCTCCATGTTTCCCCCGAGCTCCGATCGCCCGCGGCTCGTCCTCATCGCCGACGACGACGCCGTCGACGAACCAGGCAATCCGCTGACCTCGTCGTCGTCGTCGTCGGGAGACGTTGGTTTCTGGTCTACCTACGAAAGCCTGATCGAGAGAGGCGATCCCGATTTCGAGTGGATCCGACCGGCAAGCGAGTGGGACCCGATGATACTCAATTACACCTCGGGGACGACATCGTCGCCTAAGGGCGTGGTCCACTGCCACCGTGGAATCTTCACGGTCGCCGTCGATACGCTCGTGGATTGGGCCGTCCCCAAGCAGCCTGTCTACCTCTGGACCCTCCCGATGTTCCACGCCAACGGTTGGAGCTTCCCTTGGGGGCTCGCCGCCGTGGGCGGCACCAGCATCTGCCTCCGCAAGTTTGACGCCGCCACCATCTACCACCTCCTCCGGCGGCACAGCGTGACCCACATGTGCGGAGCCCCCGTGGTGCTCAACATGTTGTCCTCCGGCTCCGGCTCCGACGCCGAGCCGCTCAAGCACCCGGTCAAGATCCTGACCGCCGGAGCCCCACCGCCCGCGGCGGTTCTGTTCCGGACTGAGTCGCTGGGGTTCGAGGTCAGCCACGGGTACGGGCTCACCGAGACGGGGGGGCTCGTGGTGTCGTGCGCATGGAAGCCGCAGTGGAAACGCCTGCCCGCGGGGGAGCGGGCGCGGCTCAAGGCAAGGCAGGGCGTCCGGACGGTGGCGATGACGGAGGTGGACGTCGTGGACCCGGTGTCGGGCGCCCCGGTGAGGCGGGACGCGTCGACGCTCGGCGAGATCGTCCTCCGGGGCGGTTGCGTGATGCTGGGGTACCTCAAGGACCCGGAGGGCACCGCCAAGTGCATGCGGGGCGGGTGGTTCTACACGGGCGACGTCGGGGTGATGCACCCGGACGGGTACCTGGAGATCAAGGACCGGTCCAAGGACGTGATCATCAGCGGCGGGGAGAACCTGAGCAGCGTGGAGGTGGAGTCGGTGCTGTACGGGCACCCGGCGGTGAACGAGGCGGCGGTGGTGGCGAGGCCGGACGAGTTCTGGGGGGAGACGCCGTGCGCCTTCGTGAGCCTCAAGGCCGGACCGGGCCGGGCGACGTCGACGGAGAAGGAGATCGTCGAGTATTGCCGGAGCAAGATGCCGCATTACATGGTGCCCAAGACGGTGGTGTTCAGGGAGGAGCTGCCCAAGACCTCGACGGGCAAGATCCAGAAGTACCTGCTGAGAGAGATCGCGAAGCGGATGGGGCCGCCCTCGTCCAGGATCAGTCGCATGTGAAACGGTCAACGAGCTCTCCGGGTGAATTTACCGGATATTCAAGTATCAGTAAGTCCAATTAAGACTGCGCACGCACTAGATTGGTCAATAATCTGCAAAGGCATTCGAGTTGATACGATTAAGTGATTATCCTTAATTTATTATGTTAATTTAATATGTCGTTACCTTGGTTCAAAAATTATTATGCTAGCAAAGTTTCGATGTAGGGGGACTGATCCTCTCGGTTTGACATCAACGAGTCGAGCTAGATTCCTCCTTATTCCTCCTTATTATTTTCTTCTTCTTTGTCAGTCTCTATTTTATTAGGGAACATATGCCATTTTGTCATGTACCGCGAGATTTCTCGGGGTTCACGTTCAGCTATGGGCCCAATTCGGGCAAGACCAATAGATAGTAGGTTCACGTTCAACGAGATAATTGTTAATTACATTGATCGGAGGGGCACGACAAGGGTACAAGACAAGGTGTGATCTTGTCCTCGCCAGATTGTTAGCAATTATGTGATTGAATAATAGATCGTACCTTCACTAATATCCCTTATGAGACTTTAAATGACCATAGTCTATTAAATTGTTAGTGGTTTGACCGTAGCTCCATGTGTTCTCAAATTTCCACACCCATATTCTATTAAAAATTTGATAATTCACGCTATTCCATTGCTTATTTTGACTCAGAACACGTGACGATCCAAGAGAATTTCATCTTATCGCAAACTTAAATCGAAAGCACATAAAAAAAGAAAAATAAAACAAGATGAAACATTTTCGTTTTTTAATCGAAACCCCAACATACGAAATCTTTAGATGGATTTGGGTCCGAGTAATTGATGGCAATCTCGTAAATATGGCGATGATAAATTAGCAGATTGTCTATATTTTCCTTGCCACATCCGATAGTGCGGAGCGCATTGTTGCCGAGTGAAAAGCATGGGAGCTCACTTTATGTCACTTCTTTTTTGGGTCCGGCACTTTCATGTCACATTAGGATTCACTAAAGTAGACAATAAGCACATATTTTCCTATATAAACATTCGATTTAGCTGATGTCGTTCTCCTCATTAACAAGGGTATTGTATGATTACTTAATTTGTCCCACCAAGAATGTTGGTCTTGAAACCAGATTTTTAGTGATCACCATGGATGTTGCTCGCGTGTTGCCGCTGTTAGCAAAAATACGTATTACCGATGATAATATTATCACTGTCTTCGATAGCTTATTTTTGAAATACATGTATTTATATTGAACTCGTGGAGTTGCTTACCGATTAGGAGACATTTTCGTTTGATTTAGCGTACGGGGCAAATGCAATATCCCGTACCATCAAGTACAATGATTCTATGTTCAGGTCAACAACAAGGACGGATTTATGTTTTATGCCCCGCGCACTTCTTTGTAATTGTGATGGAATAATTGTGTTGAAGGTTTTTAAGTAATGTTACACTGTTTTGCCTTCATTGAATTTCTTAAAATATTATAGGATGCTTTTTGTGCATGCAATCATTATTAGAGCGTTGAGAATCACAACATAATAACATTAATGCATTTTATTGAACGAAGTTAAAGGAAAATTTCCCGACGCATGTAAATAATAAACATTAGATTTTCTCACCACATAATAAATCACATGGATTATATATAAACACATCTTATTACATGTTTTGAATAATGTATTTTAATTTCTATTTTAGTTTTTAAAGGAAAGGGAAAATAGAAAATTGAGAAAAAAAAAATGATAAAGAAAGGACAACAAAGGGGGAGAGAGGCACAAAGTGAAGTTGGTGGGCTCAATCCCACTCTCACCCTGTCTACGCTCCATGGACTCTTGGAAAAGACTATCCTTTCATCCTTTGTCATGGATAGCAAAGAAAAAGGGAAAAGTAAAACAAAAAATCCTACACATATTGTATTAGTATCAATTCAATCCTAAACCTTTTCACATTGATATCAGTTCAGTCCATCCGGCCAATTTTGGCTGGAATTTGCTGAAGTGGACACCGGCCATCGTACGTGACACGACATGCGCTGACGTGGATAATTTTTAATAATTTTTTTCTTTTTTCCCTTTGTTTTTTTTTTCCTTCCTTCTCCGTGGCCAGCGAGGGCCGCGATGGCCTCGCTGACCCTCACCCTGGCCATGGCTGGCCCCCACCTCGGCTATGGCGAGGTACTGGCCTAAGCCTAAGCAAGGAGAATGAAGGAAAAAAAGAGAGGAAAAATTCAAAAAACTATTAAAAATTATCCACATCAGTGCCGGCCGTGCCATATAGGATGGCTGGCGTCCATATCAGTGAATTCCGACCTAAATTGGCCGAATGGACTGAATTTGTACCAATATGAAAAGGTTTAGGATTAAATTGGTCTAATTGAAAGGTTTAGGACTGAATTAATACCAATGCAATATATTTAGAACTTTTTTGGTACTTTTCTTCAATGAAAAGGGTAGAAGATAATTGTCATATGGAAGATCTCACCAGCAGGGTTATAAGATATGAAATAAGCACTAACATATTCATCCCACTAGTGATTATTAGGTCTAACCACATAAATAAAATGGGTTTATTTTCGCGTCAGTTTTGGCTGACGCACATCCTTTTTACTCAATTGACCAAATTATACTCTAACCATAAATTAAGTCGAGCGTGAATTGGTATTCATAGTGACTTTTGCTGATTCAAATTGATAATGATTAATTGTCACCTTTCTATCTTAGCTTATTAAAAGTTTTTCCTTTTATATTCTTTGAATCTAGAGCAAAGGAAATTGTATTTATTCTATCTGGGGGTGAGCATGGTCCGGTGGGCGGTTCACACTGTGGAACCGGGAACCATCCACTAAAGATCGATTTCGAAAAATTGGAATCGGGAACCACTCGTTAGTTCGAGGGATCCATCTAGGAGCTAGACCGCTAGTCCGGTTTAGTTCCAGGACCAGTCCCCAATCCCTAATCAATACCATGGTGAACTTAGTTTCTATGTGGATACTTCTTTACCAGGGAAAAGGTGTGTATATACCGGTTTGTAGCTAAGATTGGTGTAAAACGGTTTGTTCGGTCATTAATTGATCAAGGAAAAACAACCCTACCTATTGATCGCTATACCTTGAAAATCTTAATGCCTAATGCCTTTTAATTAGTATATGCAGATCAAATCAATTGCGAATTTCACACGGGCCCAAACAATATATGCTCACATAATGATTTCCTTTGTTCTCGAAACGAAGTCTAGATGGACTAAGAAATAAAACTCTACTCGCTGGATAGACACATGAACGGCGAGTTAATTGTTCAAATGATGAGTATTTGTGTATTTCAACTGACATTTGATACTTTTATAGTTTAATCAGTTCATAAATCTTAAAGGATATACCAGAGAAAGCCTCTGTATTTCAATTGACACAAGTCCTTGCTAAATCTTCTAGGAAGTTATAGTTGAGAGTGGAATTATACACACGCATATTGATCCGATCCGGGTGGGTGGTTTCACATTTGAAATCGGGAACCGGACCGATACTCACCGGTTCCAATTATTGGAACCGGGAATCGAACCGGTTCCCATGAGAATCGCCGGTTGTGGGCTAGTTCGGGCAGTTTTCAATTCCTTTGTACACCTCTAATTCTATCCAAAGGAAGAAAAACCCATTGAAAGTGGGGCACCGAGAGATGAACTAAATCCAGTTTCGACTTTTTCGTTGCTTTAGAATCTTGAAAAACATAGAAACGCCATTCGTGGATAAAACAAATCCAAGACTTGGGGGAAATGACCCGTTCAAAGATCAATGATCACATCATTGAAAGCAAAGTGAAGATTTCTTTTCCTTCTTATTTCATCATTCTTGTTTGACTTTCGGTTGCATTCATGTGCAGAAAAGGTAGAGCAACATAGAGAAAGTCCGAATTAGAGATGATGAAAAAGAGTAGAGCCAAATTGCGGGCCAGGGTCGACCTGCCATTGGGCTAATTGGGTTGGGCTGGGCTCTTATAACCCAAGAGTGCCCCTCGAGCCGATGTGGTTTGGGGCGGTTCGGGAGGGCCTAGGCCGCTAGGCGCATGATTATGTTTAGTCCGGATATAAGGGAGTGGGAGGTGATCCGAGCCCAAGAGAGCCCAAATAAACGCGAAAAAGGCTTGGGAAATATTACGGCTGCGTTTGGTTCAGCATTGGGAAGGGGCTTTCAGCCCCGAAAGCCCCTTCCCAAAAATGCTGAACCAAACGGTTAGCATTGAGCATTGAAAATGCTCAAAACTAGCATTTTCAATGCCGAAAGCCCAATCTTGATCGGGACTAGCTTTGGACTTTCGCCTTGAACCAAATGCCAAAATCATTTTTATACTTCCCAAACTACCCTCACTCAAATTTCAATATTCCGGCTTTGCCCTCTCGTTCTTGTTCATCTTCTTCACCAAAGGGACTCGGCGAGGGCAAAGGGCCGGCGACGGCGAAGTCGGCGAGGTCGCCCGACCAGCGACGGCCGCCGGGGTCGGGCGATCGCCCGGGCGCGGCCGCTCGGGGTCGGGCGGCCGCCAGTGCGGCCGCCTGGGTCCCGCGACTCGGCGACGTCGGCTGGGGTCGCGACCCGGGCGGCCGTCGGCCCTGGGTCGCGACCCAGCGGCCGTCGGCTGGGTCGCGCGACCCAGGCGGCCGTCGGCCTGGGGTCGCGCGACCCGCGGCCGTCGCCCGAGATCACGCGACCTCGGGCGACCGTCGCTGGGTCGCGCGACCCAGCGGTCGTCGGCTGGGTCGCGCGACCTAAAGTGTGGGCCGTTGCCCGGGTAGCGCAACCCAGTGGGCGGCCGTCGGCTCGGGAGGTCGCGCGACCTCAGCGCCTCGTCGCCCGAGGTCGGCGGCCCTCGCCGGGGCCGCCGCGACGGGCGACGGCTGCCGGCGCCAGATCTCAGCTCGCCGGCGGCCGTAGCCCTTCGCCGGAAGCCGTAGCCCTTCGCCGGAGCCGGCGAAGGGTATTTTTGCCTTTTTTTTAAAAAAACCCCCTCAAAGCCCATTTGTAAAAAAAATTAACCAAACACCACTTGGGTCAAAATAGCTTTGCAAATGAGTTTTTACCAAACGCCATTTGCATTTTTCCTAAAGGGCTTCC